TTTAAAATAAGTTTACTTAATTAACCAGTTAACTTACCAATCGAAAACAACAACAATAAATTACGGATGAATCCTTTTCCCTATCGCTTATTAGATTAGACAACGGAAGGCTCTTCATAAGACTTAAAGTGGAGTTTTAAACAGTGGAAAACGCAGGTGGCATTCACAGCTATTTACATCTGAAAAATTGCGTGCTGAGGAAGCACGCAATTTAGCGCCATTATGCTCATGAATCGTGTGAGGAGATTCACGCATGCTCTAGAGTGAAAGAAATACAGGGAGAACATGTCGACAGAGGTTACTTTTTGCATTCATTTAAATCTCGTGAAAAGGTTGTCCCTGGTCGCAGAAAATGTTAATGATTCCGTTGTTCAACAAATGTTTTTGTCATCCGATTTTCGTCCTAAAAGTAGCTTTTTTTTTACCAGTCTTATAAGGATATCATAATTTTATAATTTGCCTAATTAATTTGACCCTTTGTCTAATCTTCAGCTGATGAAGTTAATGTTGTTTTACTTTTGTTCACGTGAGAAATTTTGGGTAATTCAGAATTATACAACTTAAAAATTGCTATTTTTGCTCTATTAATCAAATATTTTTTTGCGATTGTTTGCTGTATATGTGCGTGCTTTTCTTGTTTAGATGACGCGTTGGTTACATTCTTTTTGCGCAGTTTATGTAGCTCAAGATAAGAAATTACTTCAATTAATCCGAAAGCTCAAAATTCTCTGAAAGAAAATGAACGTTAGTAATCGCTATTATTTTGACACTTATTTAAGGTGACTCGACCCAGTTTTTTAGGGGGGGGGGGGGTACCATCCTACTTTGAAGCTCTCTGGTATCCCCACCTTTACTTTTATCGTAAGTCTAACACATAGAATGGACAACATATAGATCAATCTACAATATAACATAAAATTTCTGGCGATCGGAGTAAATGTCACGTGGTTATAATGCCACGCCCCTTTGAGGTCTGAGTCGAAAATCTGCTGTTGCCGGCATTTTTTCGTGGAAATCTCTTGGCTAGACATAGTGCGCATTAGTGCCTTGCGCTGAACAGAGTTTCACCAAAATCGCAAAGACCCAATTCGAGAAATTCAGCGGTTCCAAATTTAGGTCATATATTATGCGAAAATGATAAGCAAACTTTACACGGATTACATCTAATAAACTATGAGATTCATCTCTTTATTTTGGGCATCGTTATAACAGATGGGTCCTTGCAAGTCAGCAAAACAATTTAGGGCCTTGTAAATGCGCGCGATTTCGAGCAAAGCAAACATATAGAAATTATAGTTTTCGCTATTTGTTGACGTTTGTCAGCGTTTAAGAGTCAATCTCACGAAAAAAGCATTTTCTTAAAAATTCGTAGTTTTTTTTCCTTCAAATTTTTTCGGGGCCACAATTGATTAACGAACTACCCAGACTCTGAATTTCATGGTCATTGAAAAACTGTGACATTACTTTCTATAAGCCCAAACTTGAGTAAACATTGAAGATTTTTAGCATTTTGGCTGAGTTTGTGCCTTGGGAGTTGTCCATTGTTTCTAGTCTGTCATTATACAGCATTCTTGTTCAGCACGCGTGTAATGACCACGCTTGGCTGACTTCCGAATGCTCAACGAGACCTAAATTTGGAAACCACTGAATTTCTCGAATTGGGTCTTTGCGATTTTGGTGAAACTCTGTTCAGCGCAAGGCACTAATGCGCACTATGTGTAGCCGAGAGATTTTCACGAAAAAATGCCGGCAACAGCAGATTTTCGACTCAGACCTCAAAGGGGCGTGGCATTATAACCACGTGACATTTACTCCGATCGCCAAAAAATTTATGTTATATTGTAGATTGATCTATATGTTATCCATTCTATTTGTTAGACTTACGATAAAAGTAAAGGTGGGGATACCAGAGAGCTTCAAAGTAGGATGGTACCCCCCCCAAAAAAACTGGGTCGAGTCACCTTAACGTTCTTGTAAATGATAATGTTTGTTTAACGGTTCAGCTTTATGGCGGAAAAGTGAGCCACACCATCCGGTTCAGTGTACGCAGACCACTGGGCCCAGTTCCTGAAAGGTCGATTAGCGGTAATCCAGGATTAAAATTTTGGTCCGTTCCTGTACTTTACATCCTATGCATTGCTTAGGGTAACATTTCGTGTTATCATTACTGTATCTCGTAGTAAAAGCTCAACAGTATTTTGTACCCTCGAGTTGCATGTTCTTAGACTAGAAAACCGTGCTTGAAATTTGGTGTGTACCGTCATTCGAGGAACCGCGCCCAGGCTAATGCTTAAACAACCACTGGAATTTCTTACGCGCTTAGGCTTAGCAGTTCAAGCGTCATAATAATGTGCCTTTTTATGACCTTTCTATCTTGTATTGTTGGTGAGATTGATGGGAGAACTACTCTTGGGATCGCCTTAAGGGATCAACGAAACAGTCACTGTTTGGTGTGTTTGGTGTTTGGCTGGGTGTGGTTGTTCGGCAGTTACGTGAGTGTGCTCAGTCTCTTGATAATACGCGAGATTAACCTCAGCCAGCCTCTCCAGAGACGTTTCCCCCTCTTTTTCGTCGCCATCCATTTGACGCCGCTCTCTTCTCCCTACAGCCAATTGGCTTGCATCGTATGCACCACCAGTTTTGCCGCTCTCCCTCTTGCATCCAGGCTCACTTCCTCTTCTTCTCATCTCTTAATTAGGAAGCTTGGCCGTGTTTTGGAGTGAGGGCATCCAGGGGTAATGTATTATGGCTCTTGCGCCGGCACAAAAACAATATAATTGGATAAGGCGTCTGTTCACACATGGGAGCGGTGATTTAGGCACGGTTTCTGCAACGAGCGAAGCTGCATCGCAACGATCTTAAAAGTGGATCCTGACATACACGATAGGTTTCTGTACCATTCTTTATCAAAGTGTGAACACGTGTTCATATTATACCGAATAGATTTTCATGTAGGCATGAAAACTGTTCGGTAGGTAGACACAGCCAGTGTTTCCCAAGTTTGAGCCGCGAGCCGTTGAACATTGCGATTCGAGGCTAACAAAAAAGACTGTTATCCTGACAGAAGGACCGATATTTAAGTGATTCCACTTGTTATACAGCTCATGATGAAAAACTTCTATGTGTGCAAAAGCATGAAAGTAATTTTCAGCGACCGGTATTTAAAAGTGCTTTTCTGTTCTCTAACGTCATAGATATAGCAGTGCTACCCGCTCAGAGACATTTGGCGGGAAACAGTTAGGAAGCCTATGAAGATCTCTTGCTTAAATGTTTTCCTTCACTTTACTGTGCAGTGACTCAAAGATCACAGCAGAATTTAGATGACATAATTACTCTCGTGGACATTTGTATTGTATTAATTAGACACGGAACTAGGTCAAAACTTAGAATGGCAAATGATTCCTTTTCAGAAAAACAGTCAATAGCTATTGGCAGCGTCAAATAGGTATTTACTTAACGGCTTTTGAAATCCATTTTGTTTTAAATTTGATTACCATTGCTTGGAATTTTTGGTTGCTTGTGGAAAATGGTCAACGTAACAAAGGAGAGTAAGTAGCAAAAAAGCAATGGGGGGCTTCCCCTTTCTACCGCTTTTTTTCTTTTTTTTTTTTTTAAACTCCGCTCTCCATTTTGCCTCACCCTCCGCTATCTGAATGCCTGGAACAGGCTGGGAAAGCTAGAATTTAAAATTATTTGAGGTTCAGGATTCATACCATTTCCTTCCAATACCTTAGAGTAATAACTATCTGCCTCTGTATCAACCAAGCTCTGAGAGGGAATACCCATTTGAAAGTACCGGAATATAGCCCTGTCCAGTGAGAATGGGCACGGGCACGGACGGGACTAATAGGTCCCATGCGAGGTGCCATCCCTACCCATTCCCACAGCCCGTAAAGGTTGGACACACCACCGGGGTCTACTCTACGTCCCCTACTCTTTTCGAACAGTGGTGCGGGTTTTTTTACGTCCCACTAGAACAGATCAGTGAAGTGCTGTGAGACGGGAGCTACGGCTTTTTGTCCTTAAATGCGAGAAGACTAGAGAGTCTAACCATTTGCAGATATCATTACAAAGGCAGCACTTTCTTCTCAGCTATTTAAAGACCCTTAGTGTTGGTCCAGCCGGGATTTGAACCCGCGACCTCCCGCTCGGCAGACGGCGCTTTCCCAACTGAGCTTACCATGCTTGACGTTTTGCACAGGGGTGGAAATTAAAGATTTTGATCCCATGTTAAAAAAGCCAATATTTTTACCCATTCAGGTATTGCTTAGTGTTGTGTGTAAATAAAAATATAAATGCATAGTAATATATTCAAACAATCAAGCAACATTCGATGTCAACATCTCCAATACAATTAAAATTACCACAGCCCTTATTCAATTGTTTGTTTTAGTATATTCTCCCTTAGGAGTCAAATAGACCCTTGGGTTAGGGTTCTCTGCCCGTAATAAAGTACGTAAGGATAATTGTCATTATTAGATCAGTCAATTTTTGAAGAAGAGGAAATTACATCATCCTTAATAAAGGATTCACATAACTTTTAGCACCAAGAAGTATAACTACTTTCATTGCTGGAGCACTGCCACACATCTCATATTTTTTGAAAGGCAATAGACCTATTCGGTCTATTCACGTGAGCAGGGTGGTTAGTTTAAACATTTCTGACCTGGGGTATGCAATTGATAATTTCAGATTAAACTCCGTGTTAGTGTTTTGATACACGATTTGGTGTAAAATAACACACCAGTTGTGTTAAGTTCTTGCAAGATTTCTGAAACACAGACGTAGTGTAACTTTACACCGCCAACGTGTGCCTCATTTCTTGATTACACCATTTTAGTGTGTTCATACACTGAATTGGTGTATCTTTTAAGAAACACTCGGCAAGTGTTATGACAACACTAATTCAGTGTTAATGTATATCTCCCTTGGTGTTAATTTACAACCTCGAATTTGCTGTGTAGTCACCAACATCAATTTATTGCTAACATTATGTCCATAAATTGTGAAGAGAATTGGTTAAGAGAGTTATGACTCATCTAAGAGAAAATGTTTTGATCTTTTATCTAACTCTTTAAACTTCTAATTCTTTAGACAATGGCCTGAAGATCAGTCACTGGAGAATTTGTATTTGAATTTGTATTGGGGTATAGACGGTTGACGGTTGTAACCGCGGCAGGATTAGCTCAGTCGGTAGAGCGCTTGACTGCAGAGCGGGAGGTCGCGGGTTCGATTCCCGGGGCCGGACCAATACTTAGGGTCTTAAAATAACTAAGAAATGAAGGTACTTCCTTTGCCCTGCGGGCGGCTGGACCTTCGCGTGGCTTGGATGACCACGTAAAATGGCGGTCCCGTCTCCATTAGGAGACGTTAAAATGAGGGCCACAAGTTTATTAGCCTTTGGCTATTAAGTGCTACCCTCTTTAAATAAAGGCTATTTTTTTTTTTTTTTTTTTTTTTTTTTTTTTTTTTTGAGGGTCAACACTACGAGCCTCAGAGCTCCGGAAGTTAAAAAATTCGTACCGTCTGGTTGCTATGAAGTGACGTAATCATCCCGTTGAGTATCCATCACCGTAACACTTTTGCGGTCAACTACCGCAGCGCTCGTAAAGTACTTTAATTAAAACCGTGTTCAAAACCCTGTAGGAAGTCTGTTTATTTTTGAGTCGATTAATGCACTGCTGACTTCCACGAGGTCAACTTTTGCATAAATTATCAAACATTATGTTAAGCGGGAAATCTACCTATGGTTCGCGGGAGAAGCAACCTCTATAGCGGCGCAAGACAAATGTTTCGAGAGTCGAGGATGTGCTCACAAACTATTCACTATGCGACGAAAGGAGATATCACTGGCATGATACCTGCATGTAATGGTAATTTTTATCAATCCAGGTCGCGCCGTGTTCGCTCGAGAACGCTGTGACAACTTCGTTTTGCGCGCTTCTCAATACTTCCAAAACATGTTGTAATCGGTAAGTAGACTTAAGCACTTAGTATCGCCAAGCCATTCGAATCAGTGTATACCCAATTCTTTGTCTGAAGATTCGCGCAAACACATATACCAAGTACATCTGGATGGAAGAGGAAATTGTCTCCCTAAACGCGGGTTGTTCCTCGCAGCCAGGTTATATTTTGAAGGATGGCGGCACAATTCAACGCGTCTTCCAGGTCAGCCCTAATTTATAGTTCGTAAGAGTATAAATTGCGATCTCCCTATTTTCGCTTAAGCTTTCTTTGATAAAACTTCAGTAGAAACAAAACAACGCAGACATGACATTCTCCTGCATGAGACACAATCGGCTGAAGGAAATATCTGTTTACAAGTCGGGTAAATCATCCATTCTTGCGCACCGCAAAATCAGCTAAAATCAGTCGCTGGAAACCTGGCATATTATTAAGCCTGAGCGCTTCTAAGAATAACACGTTTAGAACTTCGACGAGTAGAAAAAAAGGCAGTTGTTCTATATCCTTTCTGGTTCATCCAGGTGGAAGTCCTGGGATATTATTATGCCTGAGCGCTTCTACGATATATAACACGTTTAGCATTTCAACCCGTAGCCGTAAAAAACAATTAGGTAGTTGTTCTATATCCTTTCTGGTTCACCCAGGTAGAAGTCCTGGCATGATATCATTATGCCTGAGCGCTTCTAGGATATATAACACGTTTAGCATTTCAACCCGTAGCCGTAAAAAAAAATTTAGGCAGTTGTTCTATATCCTTTCTGGTTCATCCAGGTAGAAGTCCTGGCATGATATCATTATGCCTGAGCGCTTCTAGGATATATAACACGTTTAGAATTCAACCCGTAGCCGTAAAAAAAATTTAGGCAGTTGTTCTATATCCTTTCTGGTTCATACAGGTAGAAGTCCTGGGATATTATTATGCCTGAGCGCTTCTAGGATATATAACACGTTTAGCATTTCAACCCGTAGCCGTAAAAAACAATTAGGCAGTTGTTCTATATCCTTTCTGGTTCATCCAGGTAGAAGTCCTGGCATGATATCATTATGCCTGAGCGCTTCTAGGATATATAACACGTTTAGCATTTCAACCCGTAGCCGTAAAAAAAAATTTAGGCAGTTGTTTTATATCCTTTCTGGTTCATCCAGGTAGAAGTCCTGGCATGTTATTATTATGCCTGAGCGCTTCTAGGATATATTACACGTTTAGCATTTCAACCCGATAAACGTAAAAAAAAATTAGGCAGTTGTTCTATATCCTTTCTGGTTCATCCAGGTAGAAGTCCTGGGATATTATTATGCCTGAGCGCTTCTAGGATATATAACACGTTTAGCATTTCAACCCGTAGCCGTAAAAAACAATTAGGTAGTTGTTCTATATCCTTTCTGGTTCATCCAGGTAGAAGTCCTGGCATGATATCATTATGCCTGAGCGCTTCTAGGATATATAACACGTTTAGCATTTCGACCCGTAGCCGTAAAAAAAATTTAGGCAGTTGTTCTATATCCTTTCTGGTTCACCCAGGTAGAAGTCCTGGCATGATATCATTATGCCTGAGCGCTTCTAGGATATATAACACGTTTAGCATTTCAACCCGTAGCCGTAAAAAAAAATTTAGGCAGTTGTTCTATATCCTTTCTGGTTCATCCAGGTAGAAGTCCTGGCATATTATTATGCCTGAGCGCTTCTAGGATATATAACACGTTTAGCATTTCAACCCGTAGCCGCAAAAAACAATTAGGTAGTTGTTCTATATCCTTTCTGGTTCACCCAGGTAGAAGTCCTGGCATGATATCATTATGCCTGAGCGCTTCTAGGATATATAACACGTTTAGCATTTCAACCCGTAGCCGTAAAAAAAAATTTAGGCAGTTGTTTTATATCCTTTCTGGTTCATCCAGGTAGAAGTCCTGGCATGTTATTATTATGCCTGAGCGCTTCTAGGATATATAACACGTTTGGCATTTCAACCCGATAAACGTAAAAAAAAATTAGGCAGTTGTTCTATATCCTTTCTGGTTCATCCAGGTAGAAGTCCTGGGATATTATTATGCCTGAGCGCTTCTAGGATATATAACACGTTTAGCATTTCGACCCGTAGCCGTAAAAGGAAAAAAAATAGGTAGTTGTTCTATATCCTTTCTGGTTCATCCAGGTAGAAGTCCTGGCATATTATTATGCCTGAGCGCTTCTGGGATATATAGTAGCAGTTTGACCCGTAGAAAAAACAAACTCAGCCGTTCATTTTGTAGGAGATATTTAAGCGTTTTTGTCTGTGTTAGCAATGTGATCGACTTTATACGCAGACCTTAATAATATGTTTTTTTCTTTGACGGCACTGAATAATTTTAGCCGAAACTTGAGCCGTACATTTGTTGAATGCCGCGCTTTAATTAAATTTCTCGCCCTAGAATGATGACATGATGGCGCGAAAATTGACGCCTCTATCGTATTAGATGCGAAATATGATCAGAGATAAATGGAATAGTGAATGTTACAAGCTTCTGAGTATCCAGCTGAGATAGGGGACTTTTAGTCCCCTATCTCAGCTTGATAAACAAATTTTTTTTGGTTGCTAAGACGGTGCGGCTCGTTATGCTACGAGCATGCATTCCCGTCACTTACATACGGGATTCTTCCCCTGGTGTATAAATTAACTTATGTGTGCCCCTAAGCAGGGCTAGCATGTCTCGATATTTTGGTAGGCGATGGCAGAGGGATTGATCGGTCTTTCGACATAAAATTGTCGTACTAAGCAGACAAGTTCTTCGTAATGTCCTTCTTCTTTATCATTATCCTCGGACGTTTTCGCTGATACGCTATTTTGAGGATCATTGTTTTGTAGTCTTGTTTCCTCGTGCCCGTCACTTGTATGTTGTGCAGGTTCTTTTTCTTCGTTTATGCTGTTTCTGAGGAAAAAAAGGAAAGAGTTTAACTTTTAATCGACGTCAAATTCATCCGTGAAGACCGCACTTACGGCAAAGTATTTTGTTTTTAATTTTTTCTCCCGAGCTATCAAGATATCTGTATCGATGACCATGACGATGCAAGAGTGGCTGTAAATCAGCTACCGCGCCCAACACTGTCGAAAAGTAGGGGTGTACCGAAAAAATACCCCTGGTTTTGAATGTTTATAGCTTTAAAACGTTTAGAGTTTTCATGGAAACCCGTATTTGACAAGAAAATGTTAGAAACTTTGATGTATGGAATTCAGTAAATCAATGGTACGCATGCGTGGCAACAGTTTATGTCTACCGGCTGTGAACTTCAGGAAAACTACATTATACTTACATTCCTCTGCTGCTAAGAGGTGCTTTGTTGAAATTCGCCTGATCTATGTACTTTTCCTCATTATCTGAAAAATGAAGTTAGAGTAATATTTTACTATATTTTACCAAGTCGAAAGTTCGCGACTTGTTCGTCAAAGTTCGCCTCCTTTTTCTACACAGTATTGTACGAACATTTTAGAGCCGGAAATTATGTCATCCTCACTCTATTTTTTATATTTTTACATAAAAGACTAATTTTAGAGAATTACAAACGCAAAAATCCGTAATGTGTTACTCTGTGGGTAACGAATACGTCATGGAAAAAATACATTACCATGGTCAAAGTTAACCAAAATGTAGAATAAGTTCAGTAATGGCTCTAAAAATAATAATAATAAAATAATAAACTGGAAATACATAAGGTAAGAAAAACAACACGAGGCGGTGTGGTTAAATAAATTTTAGAAAAATAACTTAGCAAATGTAACACGAGTGTTACAGTATTGACTTTGCGGTAAGCATTGTTGAATTCTTGATTGTTACCAAGATAAAATTTGCTTATTAAAAAGCTCAAATAAGCAACAACCTTACTAATGGTCTTGTAAAATAATACTCATCTGGGCGTCTATATTCAGCGGCTCTTCAAGATCAAGCATAGAAAGTTTAAATCTCCAAGTTGCATTATTGTTGTTATTAGTATTGATGACCAGACGCAGGATCGAAATGGTAGGTTTCTTTCAGTTTTGACAATTCGTTTTTATTTTTGGTAACGCACGGATATTATAAAGAACTTTTGCAGTTTTTCTTTGTTTCATTGAACCTTGCAAATGGAATAAAAAAGTGATATACAACTGATCTAATGTCAAGAGACCACGTTCTAAAACACGCATGCTAATGGCCTGCGTTATTTGAAAAGCTGCTATTTTAGCGCGAATACCAAATAAAGTTTAAACAATATTGACAGAGCAACTTCCATTTGTAACCGGGTTAAAACAAACCTTATGGAATATATTAAAAAAAAAAAAAAAAAAAAAAAACCTTTGGTGATAATGGTGTCTTAAAATGCCATCTTCCGATGCTTTAAAATAACCAAACATTGATATTACTTTTACAGCGGTAACATCACAACATTTTGTATCTTATTTATGAACGAATAAAGACTGCAGTGAAGTGGAATTTAGTCTGCCGTTGAGCCATAAACTCAAATAACAGCAGGTGAATTTCATCACCAGTTGGGTAAACGTATCACGCTCCATAGAATTGGCAAGGTGATTTTCTTTGACATAGTAGCATTAAACGGAAATATAAAAGATAAAGTGTAGTTACCTTTTGTCGCGCGGCTTTTTGTAACACCCTTTGTGGACGGAGTTCGTTTGTTCGAACGGATTCTATGAAATTCGTTTTCGAGGATATCCAATCTATCGTTCGAATCGGTATCTTCGATATCTACTAAGTTATTACTCGCTGCCTCCGAACAATTTCCCTTGTCATGTATATCAGCTCTGCGTTCTTCGGCCATCATATTGCAGTGTTGGTTGCACGATGGTACTGGATTTGTAGAAGTCAAGAGTCGTATGTGTAATCTTCAGGATATGATGGCAATCATTTGGCTCCAAAAATGATAGATCCACTGTGTTAGAAGACTCATCGATCCGTTTCATATTGATTCACAACATAAATTTCCATTGGTCTGAAATAAATTGCTGATGATGTGAATAATTAAATCGAGACAGGTGTACAGGGGAGTTTAGACAATGGAATTGCTGTCTTTATACTTGAAAATATATATTCTCTCCTGAGGGTTAACGTGAATTATAATTTTTAAAAATAATTGCATGTTTCTAATGCTGGAATCATTAAAAATTGGATCTTTTAGCTTTAAAATTAACACAAAATCATGTTAAACTTTCTTTCTTTCTATGACTTATATGTCATAGGTACTATAAAAAAATGACTGAATGTTGACATTTTAAAGGAGAAACGTTTGATCCATTTGAAGAGCATTTGCCTTTTATGTCACGCTTGAAACTCAAGATTAAAACCCTAACCACAATATTTCTTTTCTATTTGTTTTGTCCCTCACGATGTTGGTACTGCTTTTCTGCAAAATTGGCATGGGGCCACTTGTCTAAATTTAAGCAACGTTTTTAGGAAATATGTAAATTTTATTAATAGTATTCGAAATATTTTTTGACCGTCTACCCAACGCTATGGTTTCAAAGGTCAGTAGACGAATCTGTTACATATTTGCATTGAAGCTGTCGATGAAGGTGATATTTTCCTATTTTTCTAATTCTGAAATTGCCATTGTACGTTTTAACCTTTTGTTGTTAGCAGTAATACACCATCTTGTTTCAAGGGGCGAGTGAAGTGGACTAATGGGGCTGGAATAACAGAAATTTTGTCTTTTCACTAATGAAACAAGCCTTTTTTGAGGGGTGGGGGGAGGGGGGAAGAGAGTAACAATGTCCTTTGCCTGGAATAAGCGCATCTTTTGCGAACGGAATAAAGGAATAATTTTATTGCACAAATGACTATTTTCGTGCGGGAAATATAAAACCATAAAAAAATAATACCAACAACAGACTTGATACAACTCACTTTGACTCTGAAGGTGGCTACCGCACTGGTTGTCGAAACGTCAGTCGCTGTCAACAATAGTACTATTCAGGACTACGTTCACGCGGACGATCATACTCAACCTACTTATGAAATGACGCCTAAGTTCAAACCTTTCACAATAATGGATTTATGAGCACATGAACCCCGGAATCTTGTTGCGTGGCTTCCCTGCCTCTTTCTGCGGCAACTAAATCAACTTTCGGCTGTCTTGTGCTTAGTACCTTAGTCTTTGAGTGACTGCAAGGCTTGCCTTTGACCTAGATGAAACAGGCGGACTTGGCCGCAAGGAAAAAGCAAAGTCACATGACAACACCAAATCGCGCGGAAAAGACTGAACGCGACCTCATGTGCTCAATTTGCTGCTCTGCCATTCTATTTCTTTTCCTGACCTTTTCCTAGACGGGCGTCGGAAGGGCGTACCCTGAGGTCATGACCAAATTTTCTCCCATCGATAGGTTAACATTTTGAATGTTTCGCCGTGCACGCGGAGGCTCCGCTAAAATGAACTGACTCAGGAGGCCGTTCAAGTGCTGATCAAACGTTGCATTACGAGAGGCTTTGCCCAAAGATAAAACAGTTCTTAAAACAATAAAATTACAGTCAACAAGACCCTGCACTGAACTCTTCCTTTAACTTCTTTATTGTTTAATATTTGACAGTTTTAAGAATGCCGCGGCGAAGAGATTTACAAATTCACCAGCTGGTATATATAACAATGAATTACGTAAAACAAAATCTTAAGAAGCTTGTAATCGAATTGACCATTTTCGATATGAAATCGTCAAATTTACCCAACTCAGCAAAAAAACAGATTTTTAAACTGAAAAAGAAAGCATTTCTCCTGTTTTACGCTAAGTAATAACTTTTTGAACAGTTTAGTACTGCCCTAATTCTTACATAATTTAAAAAAAACGTTTTTCTTTTTAAAAAAAGGTGTTAAATAACGTGATCAAATTAAATAGCTTTTTGCTCAATACGCCTACTACAGTCTTTAACTAGAAATGTTTAGTTGAAGGTTGAAATCATTCTTACCAAGAGAAATGTGTTTTGAATTGTAAAACTGCCCTGCAATACAAAATTTTCATAACACAATACGAGTCAGGCAGTTTACAAAGTATATAACCGCATTGTCTCAGAGCAATAACGGTCTGTGTTGATCGATCAGTTGTGTTTCTTATTCGTGTGTTCTGTAGAGTGGTATTTCTTATGCTTGAAATGTTTTCTGTGTTGCTTCCGTTCTCTTTCACTTTTGTCGTATGTAGGTGCAGGTGCTATGCCTCCTGGAGGTGCCGGGGCTGCTGGATATGTAGGCGGTGGAGGTACCGGGGCTGCCGGATATGTAGGTGGTGGAGGTGCCGGGGCTGCCGGATATGTAGGTGGTGGAGGTGGTGGGGCTGCGGGGTAAGGAGGTGGAGGAGGTGGTGGGGCTGCGGGGTATGGAGGCGGAGAAACTGGATACGGTGGTGGTGGAGGAGGTGGTGGAGCTGATGGAGGTGTTGGAGGAGTCGGATATGGAACAGGTCCAGGTGCCGGGGGTGTTGGGTATGGAACCGGTACAGGTGTGGGTGGTGTTGGATATGGAGCCGGTACAGGTGTGGGTGGTGTTGGATATGGAGCCGGTGTAGGTGCTGGTGGTGTTGGGTAGGGGCTGGGGGTAGGGTAGGGGTACTGTGTGGGGTAATGTGATGGGTAAGGGTAGGGATAGGGGTAGGGAGCTGGATACGGGTATGGAGCGGGATAAGGGTTTGGATATGGGTTAGGAACTGGTATAGGGTACTGTCCCGCCTGGTACTGATATGGGTGAAGGGCCGTGATAGGATAGGGGTACGATTGAGGAGCTGGTTGCACGCCTTTGTACTTCTCGCAGCTGTGAGGACATGCTAGTCTTATGTCTTCGTCTGTTTGGCAGTAACCCTCTCTTCCCCAGATTGGGCACACCGTGTGCTTATCCACGTACTTCGATTCTAGAACGAGAAATAAATACAGATAGAGCAGAATTAATCTTTGCATTCAAAGTAGTTTAAATAATGGTATTAACTGCACCGCTTTCATAACAGACATCAGTGTTTCTCGAGGGCCGTCCTGATGCACTGGTCTCAGAATGGCTATTCATCTCATGTTGGCATTATAATCAGCCGTTCCACCTTTAAGGAAGTCAACTCTCTCTACAATGAACACCTTTGGGACCGACACTATGCATCCAGCTTAGCGAGATGTCCTAATTATAGAGTCAGCTAAACGGAGAAAAGAAAGGCAGGGACCAACTCTTGGTGACCATTTTAGCAAGGTGTCCGTCCTAGTTTCTATAGAGGTGTTCAATGAGAGATTTGACTGTATTCAGGGTAATTTCATAGTGTCCCAAGCCTCCCAGTTAAAGTAGAACCTTTCTTTTCCCTTTCATGGAGAAAAGCGCCTGCAATATCTACATATACATAGTTGTCTCTTCTTATACCACCTAATAAGTACTTGTTACAATCCAAACTAAAACAATAAACTGTCACATAATAAATGTCCATGTGCCTAAAATATTGTCCTCTTAATTAAGCAAAAGAAGGTTGGCAACATCTGGTCAGTGAATTCTGTCAAATTTGAAATCTCTCTGTCTCTCACCAGAAATAAAGTGCTCAAAAATGACATTGTGTTTAGGTACTGCCTGTTTTCTTAGCTTTCAGGTTCGTTGGATCGTGGCACAATACCACTTCAAACACTTTGCAAATTCAGCACATTGTCAACTTAAAGAAAAGTTTTTTTTCCTTTTCAGAGAGATCTATTGCAGCTCTTTCTGTTTTGCAGGATTGATTAAAGACTCAATTAAAGCCACCTACCCTTTCCACAGAAATGGCAAGACTTTTTGCAGGTTTGCATCATGTAGTCTGGAAGTCTTTGGCAGTCTCCTCTCTGTGCATAGCTTGGGCAGTGATTGTTACGGTCTTCACAGCGACTGGTATACTCTTTAAAAAAATACATATGACAAATTGAGCAATTCGTACCATTTATTTTTTATTCATCAATTCCATTGTTGTGGTTGTTGTTGTTGTTCTTCTTCGAAATAACCAATGTGGTTTTAGTTTCTGTCATTACTTTTTCATTCATCCAGTTCCTTAAAATAGGTTCTTCCACAGGTAGAGAAATCAGGAGCCACGGATTTCTATTTTAAAACAAACTATTGCTATCAGACGGGCTGTTCACACTTGGTGCTCCAGCTCTAGTGCCAGGGTACCAACAAAAAACTGTGTTGTGATCACACCTCAGTTATGTGACTTATTTACTCAATCACTTCCACCATAATTATAGTGCGGAACACATAACAGGGCGGGACTCCATTTTAAGTGTTTCCTTACAGATAACCCACACAGCCCAGGAAAGGTTGACTTCCCCACCGGGGTCTTCGTACGTTCTTTTACGTCCCACAAGAACAAATCTGTGAAAGTGCTGAGAGACGGGACCTACGGTTTTTCGTCCTTATCCGAGAAGACTAGAAAGTCTAACCATTTGCAGATCTCATTACAAAGGCAGCACTTTCTCCTCAGTTATTTTAGAACCCTTCGTGTTGGTCCAGCCGGGATTTGAACCCAGGTCCTCCCGCTCAGCAGACTGGCGCTCTCCCAACTGAGCTAATCAGGCGGCGGTAATCATTTTGACCCATTATGCCCTGCCATACGCCATTTTGACACGTGAGCGTAGCAGGGAGTGGAAAGCAATTGATTGCCTTGGAAGTTATAGAAAACGTGTGTAAACAAAAAAAATCTGGATTGCCACCTTAAGTGCCGGAGAACAAGGTCTTGAGCCAGCATCGGCCGTGCCCAAGTTTATGCTGGCGTGAATATGCTTGGCGGAAGTCTGCATACACATTATTTGCCCGCGAGTGCCTTATAGAGGCCTGTACCCGGGAGCCGGTCCAATTAAGTGTGAACGCTCTCTTATAAAGATTTTGAGTTCACCTACCGCCCTCCTTGGCACAGAAGTGGCATGACCATGGACAGTCTTCAACCATATCATTAAATTCTTGAAGACACTTTTCTTGTGACAGTCCTTCGCAGTCAGCTTCTGGATCATCCTCGCATTTTTTCAAGTTATACACTGAAAAAATTAAACCAATTTAATCAGTCTAGCCTGTACTAGGCGGTCACCCTTCTTTGAAGCGGTCTTTTACCGTTGTCATCGTAATTGTTTGTCACGATTATACCAACTAGCTCACTTTTTCAAATGCAGGCGAAACACTCTTGTAGTTGAATTCCTCAGAAAAATACCAAAGTTGAAAGAGAGATTTTCAGAAACTCTTCGACATTTGATTAACGTTTCCAATAAAACGCAATATTAAGCAATTTTACGTGGTCTAATAGCGGTGGCAATAAAGAAATGTACCAAAAGGTGTGTTATACTTGCAGAAAAGTATTTCTGCGAATATGTTGCTGTCGCCGTCGTGACATCGTAAATTCTCTATATGTTAAGTGGAACTACTGCACGTTCTGTTGCTATTCTTACGTTTTTTGTATGGTATCGATATTTGAAGCTCAGATATTCTACGAATTTCCTCGTCTCTATCACTTAAGAAATCTCCACTTCCTGATGAACCTGACTCCATGCCAGAAGCTGATACCTCTTCATCCGCTCCAGTACCTGGAAAAAATCGATGAATTTACTTGAATAAAAAAGGGCCGGTATAACAGGAGAAATAAATGTCAACACAAAGCTTTAAGCGGTCAGACTTCAAGGCGAAGTCCTTTCCTTTTAAAAGTTTTTCAAAGAGCCTTTTAAGGAAACAAAGTTCCATCTTAGTACTTCACTCGAGACACCTGTTCGGTAGCAACCACATCTTTTAGAGTGGAAATGCTCCATGAGCATTATCCCACAGACAAATCTTAAGAAACAGAAACAGCAAGGCAAAAACTGATAACCAAAGAAAAAAAAACACAAGGACCACTAAGAAAATGGAGTTATGATACTTACTTGATTCAAAACAGTAAAAAACAAGTAGAAGGAAAGTAAACTGGACAGCCTTCATTTTCATCCACTGCAATAGGAGCTATAAAATGAATGCCAGCGTTAAGATGAGGGAAACGAATCCACCCTGGGACTCAGGGTTGACTCCTGCTACACAAAGAGAAGGCAACTTATTTCTTCATCGCTTTCTTCCCTTGAAAACCTTGGTATTCTCCTAGTACAGCGCTCCCGCTAGGGTAAAATATTTGAATAATATATATAGCGTTTAAACCTTCCCAGAAAATTCCCTAGTAAAGAGGAAAAAACAGAAAGGAAGATAAAAAACATGATTTGCGTAATAGACTGTATAACAAAAATTATAACTTAAAGTTCAATTTCCTTTTGACAATAAACAAACCAAAGTAAATAAGTGAACAGGATTTCTCTTTACCTCTTTTAACTTTCCCTGGGGACAGCAATTTTAAATTTCTATGAAAAAAATTATGACGTAAAAAGCTTACCAAAACGTCGCTCAGGACAGAATAGCACAACCGATAATTATTTTAAAGAATCTGCTATTATTACTCCTGTTGTTACCGATAAATGTCTATAAGATTACTGGCAAAAGACGAATGAATTACTCGTAATGAGGAAAAGCTTTAAAATTTTATCTCAGTGAAGCATAAAAGCATTGCGGGTGGTTACATCGTTTGTTATTATCTTTGGTTTTATCTACTTGTATCTATCATGAAAGGTAGTGCTTCAGTGGTCAGCAATAAGACCACCTCTCAAAAAGGTGAAAACGATTGTTAAGAATTAAACGCAGTGAACGGCAAGGTTAAAATGTTAATTTACGGTTGTCAGTTTACTTGACCATTAAGTAAGGATGGATTCCACGGTAGTGTAACTTTGACGTGCGTAAGCGCAAATGATAAATCCTTCCACAGTTTTTTCCAACTTTTGACATGGTCAAATTAGGAATAATTCGTCGACGACACTGGAAAGAGCGATTTAAATTATTAAAATTGCCAAGTTTGAAAGTGATTTGTTAAAAAGATATAGCTCCTCACACTTCTCCCCCACATCACAAACTTTTGCAAATTTCCGCATCTTTGCGCAGCCATATCATCCCCCGCTAAATAAATTAAGACGTATCACTTTCAAATATGTCAGTTTTATTAATTTCAAGGCGCCCTTTCCAGTGGTGTCGACAGATTTTCCCTAACTAGTTCACGTCAAAAGATGAACTGCACGCGACCGTCCATGTCCATTGGAAAAAACAATTGCGTGCAGGCACACGTAAAGATAAGGTGACAGAAGATATCCACCCTAGGCCTAATCAATAATGCAACTCTTTGCGATTTTAAGAGAAAAGCCTCTTGGTACTGGCTCGTACTAACGGCAATTTTGGAACAAAATTTATGAACAACCCTCCTTCAAAACTTGATTGATTGCCTGAATGATTGGGTGGTGGAAGGATGATTTGTTTGAATGAATGACTAATTGATAGGTTGAAGGATGAATGGATTGATTGATTAACTGAATGGTTGGTTGGTTGGTTGGTGGAAGGATGGATTAATTATCATTATTATTGATTGACTGATTGGTTGGTTGGTAAATGGATTGATTGATTGATCGGTTGATTGGTTGATGGAATGATGGACGGATCAATTGACTGATTGGTAAATTTGTTGGTGTAAGGATGAATGGTTGATTGATTGATTGATTGATTAATTTACTGATTGATAGGTTGATAGATTGATTGATTGATTGATTGATTGATTGGTAGAAGGATGGATGGATTGATTGGTTGATTGACTAATTGGTTGGTTGGTGGAAGGAAGAAAGAAAGGGTTGATTGATTGATTGATTGATTGGTGGATAAACTGATTGGTTGATGGCAGGATGGATGGATGGATTGATTGGCTGGTTAGTTGGTTGACCAATCGGTTGAATGGCTGGTGGAAGGATGAATGGATTGGTTGTGTGATTGGTTGGTTGGTAGAAGGATGGATTAATAGATAAATTGAATGTTTGACTTACTCATGTGTTGATAGGCGGATATATTATTTGTTAGGTAATATAGATGGAGGGGTGGATTTACGAGTGATTGATTGACAAGAGAAGAGGGACAATGTGATTGTGAAGGGAACAGGCCACGGCAAGAGTTTTTAAAAAAGATTTGTTTTTATTCAACTTGATTGTTTTAGTCATATTAATTTAATTCAATACTGTAATTGTAATTTAGCTTTGGTCTGTCAAGACTATTGTTGTAATAATAAAATTACTTATTGATAATGCTGTCGCGTTCAATCATAACAACATTCAAAATTTCTAGCAGAAACATTCTGATAATTGACGAACTACAAAAACTATGACTTAAACACCACTTATTCAAAACGCCGAATATGTTTGCCTACCCTTAAACAAGAAAATCAAAATTAGATTTTTAAAATTCCTTGGGAGAAGTTTAAAAAGCGGTAATGAGTTAACTGAAAAAAAAAAGACTCCATACAAAGGATGGTTGAACGTTTATAAATGTGCTCTGCTGAGTGACCTCTCTTAGTAAATACATGCGTTATAACAAGGAAACAGACGTGGAGAATGCGGCTCTTCAAAAATTTTGCAAGAAAAAAAATGTTTGAACAAATTCTAATAACTGAATACCAGGAAAACAGTTTAGGGTTACCATTAGCAGTATCCCAAAAAAACGATTTGGACAACATGTCGTTTTTGTCAAATCCAAGAATAGGCCATCTGCATGATAGCGTCGTCATTTTACTACTACTACCAGAATCCTTTATGTCATTTTAACCTTGCTGGGATTACCAAATTTAAATATGATAGAAAAACGAAATGAATTCTGGTCTTAGTAGATAGTAAAAGAGGTCACCGTGCAACTGGCCTATTGCACGTTACAAAGGTGATATATTGTTAGAGATATATAGAGTCGGTACTGAAATGGTAGTGTGACACTAGCGAGACAAAGGAATGTATTTCGAGTTTTAAAGACAATAAGAATTATTTCATTACTAGGTAAAGTGTTCGAATTGAGTCGGTTTGTGTTACGTTTTTTTGGCTTCTTTGTTTATTGAAGCGGAGTATTTCGTAGATGATACACTTAGCGCTCGCAATAGACTCCATCAAGAAATTTCAGCATAAATATGTTTGCGTCCTCACCGATTTTAAGGCAACACAAATCCTGCCTGTCTTTTGTTATCAATGATTTGTTAGTGTAGCTTCTTTTGAGGAGAATAAAAGATGGGAAACTCCCCCAAAACTAAATGAATAACTTTTCTGACCAACAGGTCATTCTGTTCTTAGATATGTTTATGACAATAAAATGTAGTTAGTCTAAATTCCCTGAAGATGCCGAAAAAGCTCGCTATTGTCATGCTGGCCACTTCCAGATAAACTAACACCACTATCAGCCCAGCCTTCTTGATCGTCAATTTTCCCGCTACCAGAAAAATCATTTTCAGGGAGAACAATTTTGATATTTTCTGTAACTAGGCTATTTTTTGGTCTATTTGCTACAATGACATGTTTCCTCGTCTGTTCTTCTTCTCCACTTCCAGAAGAAGTAGAGTATTCCTCTATACTATCACCTTCTGGTACTTTTTGTTTGCCTTCCATATTTCCAGTAATATTTTCTTCTGTAGGTGCCGCATCGGCTCCTGATGAAGAATGATACTCTGTGGATGAACTTTGTTCAAAGTTATCGTCATTGAGCATTTCTTTATCAGGGACCATTTTGACCTCATTTCTTCCGACCTCGCTTTTGTCACCACTTCCTGAAAAAGAAAACGATGTGGATGTAGTCTGCTCTCCAGTTAGCTGATGGTCTCCTTCATTTCCTTCGGAATTTTTCGCGCCATCTTTGACAATATCCCAGCCACTTCCTGACGAGGAAACGCCAGCTCGAAGTCCTTGCTGATCATTTGAATTCACTCTGACTGGCACCACTCCTTTTTGTTGACCGCTTTCAGTTAAGTCTTCGTCTTCCTCCTTTTCCTCCTTCCAAATCTCCTGGTTGGTTTGTGTGCTAAAACCGGGGCTCCTATGCGTGGTTTTACTGCTATTTCCAGTGGCCCAAGTAGGTCCGCCACTCAAGAAAAGTTTCGGTAGGAGAGAATCATATGCCCTAGGTGGAGGGAGGGGTGCAGGAACTGTTACCAATTCCTGTTGCTGTATCGGGCCTGTAAAGAAGATGGATACCCTTAATGCATTATGAATCAATTTTGTATTTAATTTTAGGTTAAAATATGAAGAGGCTTTTTGCTTTCTTCCCAACGTCCCAACGTTCTCGACAAAGAGTGGGTGCTTCATACTGCAGAATCCGTTTCAATTTGAGCTGATGAGAGCTCAAGCTTTGTACTTACGTCAAGGTTCTCGTAAATATATTCTTTCAAGAGGACGTCTGTTACCATAGATATTTAATAAAAGATGAAATGACATGACATGATATTATATGATGTACAGTCGAACCTCCACTAACGGCCGCCTCTCCACAACGGCCACTCTTTTTTGTCCCGGCGGACAGTCCATACATTGATTGACAGTCCATACATTGACTCTTGTTTAAACCTCTCTACAACGGCCATTTTTTTCAGCGACTGACAAAAGAGTTAAGAATGGCCATTAAATTTGATCCGTATGGAGATTTGATGATTAATGACGGTATTTTGATCGTGTTCCATTTATATTGCTGCAGTAAGCATAAACTGTCTATGATAATTTTATCAAATGTTGCGGACCTTGCTCGCTTTGTCAAATAAAATTTTGATTCAGAACATTGTTTAAGGTTTTGTGTATTTTATCTCTATATACTAGTATACGATGGAATTACCATTATGGGATACAGTAAGCATGAACTTGGAACAATAAACATGTAACCCCTATGAACAAAGTTTGTCACATTACACCACTGCCTTCCCAAAACGGCCACCTCTCAAAAAAGGGCCACTTTCTTCTGTCCCCAAGGTGGCCATCGTGGAGAGGTTCGACTGTAGTATCTATTGTGCATGCTTAAGTTTCTGCCAGTTCTCTTCCCGACAAAAGCCGAAAGTTAAAACAAAAGCAAAAGGAACCAATTTTCAAATAAACTTTAAGAATATAGAATCACTTTTACGGAAACGACAAACGTCAATTTCTTCCAGTCGACAATGTTTTCCCTTAACGTTTCGCTTGGCGTTAATTATATCGGCACAAAAAAATCCTCAGTTTTCAAAAAGAAGAATTATTTAAGACAGTTCTTATTTTTCTTCTCATTCCGGCCCAAAACTGAAAAATCGTAAAATTTAGTCTGATCTTATTCGCTTGCCGTAAACTGGATTCTAAATATTATCGCTGTAATGATTTCAAAGAATGCTGTAATTCGCATTAGAAAAATAAATCACAGAAAGTGGACGCTTCTGTTCAGTTTTTACGAACCTGACTCGTTTCTGTTTCTTTCCTTTTGATCAGACTGAGCCGTCGCATTAAGTGTTTGGTTACTTGCTGTTTCGTTTGATTCACGTGGTATTGGTAACCTCACCGGGCGTGGCTCAGGGTGCGTGACGTACCCATTTTGTTTTTGCGTCAGTTTTAATAACTTGGAGTCCCACCATTCCTTTGCAAGGACTTCCTTCAAGTCTGGAGGCAGCTGAATAATAAACACTTAACGTTACTGTTGCAGTACAATTTATGGCGCAATGCAATCTGCAGCTGCCCGCCGTATAACAATGTGGTCATAATTTGCGCTTTTTTGCAACGTTATAGATGGCTATTAGGAACATGATAAAGACGTTTTTGAGCGACCCACGACAGCCGGAAGTGAGGTACTACCTCTTGAGCTACCACATTTGTATTAGTAAGTGTCCTTACTCATCCGGGGACATATAATTATATAGACGATTTGCCCCAAAATCTGGCCAAAACTACTGCCCAACAATGCAAAAGGTCCACTTCTAGCTGACATGTGTCTCTGAAAAACGACTTCAATTGAGCTTCCTAATAGTTCCAATAGAAACTAGAAAGATTAAAAGAAACTTGTAAGTTATTATTAGTACACTTTTTGTCTAATTTGAAAGAGGATCATCAAAGCGGTGATCCTTCTTACCGTGTCCAAGTCTGAATGTGATCTTATTGCTGCAGAAGGAGGTGGCGGTGCCACGAACTCAACGACTTTCGAGCTCGCTACTGAGGAAGTATTTTGGAAATTGACTGTAATGTAGCGTTCATCCAGGGAGTTAGCACCTTGGACGCCATACTTTTGGCAACTGTGGGGGCATTTATGAAGCAGGTCCTCGTTTGATTGGCACCACCCGGCTTTGGCCCAAAGAGGGCAAGTGGTCTCTTTATCCGTTAAATTATAATGGCTTTCTAAAAGAAAAAGGGGAAAAAAGAAAAGGAGTTACACTTGTGAAATGGATTAAAAAGGTCATTAATTACAGTAAACGCGCGTACACGAACCAAGGAGACTCTTACTACCACGAGCGTACAATGGTAGAATACCACCCTTTCCAAATGTGTTTCTCTAACCTTTACGTATACCAAAACGACCTTAAGTTGTACCCTCTTCTTCCAAGTAGTAAAACGCTCGCTAAGTAATCAAAATAATATTCTAAACGGGGTGCAATACAAATGCAAAACCGGACGACCAACACTGAAACCAAACAAAACATTAAAAATAAAACAAAATATAATTTCTCTGCAATTTCCAGTCTATCAAAAGGCAAAAAATAAACAAGTGAATTTAATAAGTTAGTGGGACCTTGTATTTAAGCAAGGCAAAAGAAAAAATTTACCTGGGCCACACATTTCACAGCTCTTCTTGCAATTTTGAGCCATGTAATCTGGGCGGGTCGTGCATTCCTTCTTCGAGACCCAATGGGAGCAATGCTTACTGAGGTCCGTACACTTTTCAGTGTCACCTGTGAAAGTTAAACAACAACACTGGAGCTTAGAATTCAACAACTCCACGAGCCACGAATCGATCTTTTAGGTTAAAAGGTGCCCTGTCCACGAATTGTGAGAAACGTGCAAAATCATTTTGGTACAAAAGAAAATAGGTGAAGCATAAAGGTTAAGGTTGGATGGAGAAGATAAAAAGAGTTAATACCAAAAAAAAGGTTTTGGGCTTATAGGGGCTGGAGTTCGCTGGATAAGATGTGATAAAAGGGTAAAGTGCATGTCCATCCTTACCATCCGTAGAAACAAGAGAAAGGAAACAGTTTCAATGCCTAAATGTAGTCGTGGTTAACAACACTGGACCATTATTTTCAGAACACAATTCACGCGAAGACACATTTTAGCTTTTTCAAAAAGGGTGACATAATTTCATGTCTGATCTACAGACAAATAATATTGATTATTATACCTCCAGCTCGCCTGCAGAATCGACAGCTCCAAGGACATCTGTCCATCATATAGTGATAGTTAGTCTCACAATAGCCGTCTTCAGCCTGTTCTTTGCATTGATTTATTCTATCATAACACTCCAAAGGGTTAATGCGAACTGTGAAGAGAAAAAAGAAACTTGCCATTTGCGCATTAAAAAAAAAAAGAATCACTTCCAAAGACGTCGACAAACACTAAAATTTTACCCAATTACCTTGAGAAACATCCAAAGATATTGATTTTCCTTCAGCGCCTCCTCGAGATAATATTTGCAACACCGCTATAAAATCAAAAACCAAATTGTACATGCTGAACTAGACTTACATTATACGAGTTTTCTGTATTATGATTTTGATTATTATCGTTATCGTTGTCATTATTATTGTTATCATTATCATAATCGTTGCTATGTTGTCGTCTTGGTTGTTGTTTTTCTACACGAGAACTATAATTAGGGTCTTTTTGTAGTTATACCCTTAGAATTTACTGAACATATTCACTTGCGATCGTTTCGCGCACGAACAGGAGCCAGCAATAGATAAGTTCGCATAATTAACAAACTTTAAAAACAAAAATCGAACGGACATCACACATCAGGGAGACTCCTCAAGGTTCACAACTAAAACATGTCATGATATAACACACAATTGTTATTTTTTTCGTTGTTTGCTCACGGAGCACGTAGGAGTGCTTAACAACTCGATTAAACGCGTGCGTGCGCTCCACATCGATTTGGAATTTGGAAGTGTTGGTTTGTGAGGAGAGGGGAAAACCGGAGTATCTGGGAAAAACCTCTCGGAGCAAAGGAGAGCACTAACAACAAAACTCAACCTTCATATGGCGTCAACGCTGCCGGGAATTGAACCCGGGCCACATTGGTTGGAGGCGAGTGCTCTCACCACTGGGCCACCCCTGCTCCCCTTCCCTACAGGAAGTAGTAGACGTTGTATTTCAGTTTATTCTGGGTAACTGTGTCAGGGTTTATGAACTCAATGATAAAAGTAAGGGCGTCCTCATAGCTAAACACCTGGCATGTGGAATACACTCGATGTTAGAACATTTTATAACGAGGAATGTATGGACTTCCGTTGTCTTAAGAAGCAGACTTTAGGGTATTCACAATAAGGAATAACATAATTATTTTTTACTTACAACACAAAGCCATCCACATGTGTTTTGACATGGAAATTATATATTCGAGTTTATTCTTACCTGCGATGAGGGCACAAAGCGTAGTCAAGAACATACCATTTCCGCATTCCGGCATCGCTTCTAAACTTTCATGAACTTATCAAAGGAAGAAGACGTAGACAGAAAGAAGCCCAATTACTGAAGTTTAACTTAACAAAATAAAATTATTTTCAGCGAGATTTGAATTCGTCCAGTTATAAGTTAAGACACAATGTTTCTTGACAATGGGTAAATATTGTCACAAGGAAGCGATAAATTGTCAAGGTTTTAATGAAGGTAGTCAGCGTTCAGTTAAGTCGTTACTTTTTGAGAGGGCCTAGCTTTTTCATCAGGCTTAATAGAACAATTCCCTTTTCATGTTTTCTCAAAAACAAGGGCAGAAGATGAAAAACTTACCGTTAAATCGCTGTTTTATCTCATAGTTACCGACACCTTAATCCACCTTTTTCGTGAATCAATAGGATAAACAGGTTTCATCGAGCGTGGAGAAATTCAACAGGTACTACCCAGCGAGAACATACACTTTCACAACGCTTTGTGCCATTAAACAAAAGAAATCGTTAAGTTTCAAAGAATGAAGTCAATTAACATCGTCCAAAACGTTAGGGAATCGAAGAAATACGGAAAATCGACGGTTGCCACGGAATAAGATAAATACCAACCTGAAGTTAACTTTTGCCTCGCTCTCATGTTGCAATCGGTAGGTTGCGCTTGCGTTAAATGCCGAGAGAATTCAAATGCTTCCATTCCTAGCTTATTTTTCAAGACATTCGCCTGGACTCTTAAGCAGACACTGTAAGTTTAATTTAGAGTCATAGACTGTCGACCGTTTTCCACTGCGAAAATGTTCAACGAAAAAATATTGTTGAGCAAGATTTTTTCATCTGTTTTGTCTACTCTTATATCAAGTCCGTGTCGCCTTTTTACCAGTTTGAGCATTCTGAGAACGTAACTGTAGTATTCTTATTTACAAAAGCAAAAATCAGGGTAACAGAATCAAACGCTTTAAAAAAATTTTGCGAAGAAAAAGCAAAACGTGAAATTTCATGAATTGATTTTTAGACTTCTTTTGTTTTCTGTCTTCTGCAGGTACATGTACTTGTTTTAATAGCGACTGGTGGCAATTTCGTCTTGTGCTTTTATCACAAAATCAATTCAACAAATCAGAATGCCGCTGCTGGATATTTTAAGAAGGGAGCACTCGGATAATTGCTTATTTGCTCCTGTAATTTCGCGTAGTCTTAAATACAAGTTGCCTGTGAAAATACCGTTTGTGTATCAGTGATATTTGCCCATGCGGGAATATAATCATAAAAGTTACAACTTTGCTTACAATTAACTTTAAAATACAACCATAATTACGCCGTTGGTTTTGTTTCAACTGATCAAGGTAGCAAAGGCTATCCATCTTATAAAGCTTAGAATAAACGAAGCAGCTACTATATTTTTTCCTTTCCTTTTTATTATCGAATATCGAATTAAAAAGATCATGTAACGCGCATAACGTTTTTTACATAAGAGACAGGTTCAAATCTAGGATGACAATCTCTAAGCAATATTATAATAATTTGTACAAGCTTCATTTGTTGTTTGCTCATCGCGTTCCATCTTCCAAACCGTGTGTCTGATGGATCCCTCGCGACGCTAAGAAACTGAAGACAACGGTACGTAACCGATAAAAACTGTGCCAGGTGCTTCAATCCTTGTTTAGTAGGATAAGAATTAAAATATCTATGGCTGCATAATTAACGAAATCTTGAAGACATAACATGTACACTTTATTGTATGTCGTACTGTCAAACCTCGGTCTTGAGGCCACTATCCTTAGGAAACAATACCAAGTTTATCACATGTTATATGCGCCTTCGATGTGCCTACGACACACGTCGTGTACATTACACTTACGACTCAGTCAGTTGCAGGTCTGATGTAGTATACACAATACGTAGTAGGCTTATCGTACGCATATCGCATGCGACAAAGATTTATCGTCTTAATAGGTCTTTAAACTGATGCCTGGCTGTAATAAGCAAAGGATGGGGTTGAAACACAAAGTTATATGAACCCATATCTCGGCCTTGGTTGTTGCTCGAAAGGAATATATACATGTATGGGATTATTTCAGTGCACTTTTACAGACATACGGGGAAATTTTAACAGCAGTCATCTTGAATTTTTGCGTTAAGTTTCATAAAGATGTTCAGCTCAAGATTGATTCAAGCAATAGTGTCTTTTAGTCTGAAAGAGAAAGGAATCAAAACCCATGGTCACAAAGGTAAAAAAGAATATACATGTAATATCTTAACCAGACTTAATTAACTAATAAACATATTACAACACCAGATGAGGGCGTTTGGCTTTTTTTGTACTGGGCTGGTTCAAGGCTCAAGTGGGGGAGGAGCTTCAGTGTTTGTTAACTTTGTTAAACATATTTTCCCAGCATTTCATGGCATTTTTTTGCTATTCTCACGATATGATATTTCAGTTAATAGGTCGCATAAATTTAACATACAGGTCTGCACAAGTGCAAGTAAAATAAGAAAGGAAAACGCCAATGGTCTTTTTCAAAAATCTAAAAATTTAGTCAAATGCAAAATGGCGGGCAATAAGTGTAACTTGTGGTTAGCGCCAGAGTAACCCGCAATACCTACACCTTCCTGTCCGAAAGAGATTTCTGCCAAGGCAACCCGGCCGTCCCCTACCCCTTGGTAGCCACATTAAATTTTTGTTTTACTTTACGCTAAAAAGTCACCACTGCCATTGTGGGAAGAACAAAACTTTCTTTAGTTCAGCCAAACTGATGATCACAGGCCCCTCATCCCTCAGTAATACCTTATTGGCTTCCCCTTTTCTTTGCTACTATCACAGTTTCCTCGTCGAGTTTCTTAGCTTGAGCCTTCTTCTTTTCAACGCCTTCCTTCTTTATCATCAGTGGTCCTTCAGTTCCAGGGACGGGATGTTGGATAACATAAGTTTGACCATTCTGTGGTGGGGAGTCAGCCTGAGGAGCGCCACCTCCTGGAAAATGTTAGTAACAAAGCCTAGTTCTATTTGCGTATATAAAAAAGCATGATAATAAATGGTCATTAAAACAGTATTGGCCTCTCTGAGGGGAGTGTTCTTCTGGGGAGTAGTGTGTTACAAACAGTGTCTAAGAATGACATTTCCCTGTCCAATTGAGTGATAAAGCCACTGCAAAGATAATTTTGAATTTCGATGATCGGACTACTAGAGATATATGTTATACTTATTATGTTACTGATCCTTATGTTAAGGATTGATTTGCAAAGAGGTTTAAAAGAAAAAAAAATGTTAAATTGTCGAATTCTTCAGTTTTCATTCTTTTTAAAATCAAAATATACCTAGTTTTTAGACTTCATTTTCTCGTAAGTACCTTTTTTTAATTTCCGGAATTTGGTGATGACAAGGGTCGTTGAAACGTCATGTGAGGTTTTTATCCAATATTTAACTGAAGATACTTAAATGCCATTAATAATGCTTATCCTGCCTTGCTTCGTTCGTTTAGGTAAATTTCTAGCTATCGAATCAGAGGTGCATGTCTCGACATAAAATCAGAGGACATTATCAAATGTGCAGTACTGTAGGTCCACCTGGCACGACTGTAATTAGTGTTTTAAACGTCATGCGGACAATTTTAAATGTAACGTGAATTGACAAGGCTTACCTGCAGCAGGAGCAGGTTGCATTGCTGGCGTTTGAGGGGCAGCTCCTTGAGGGGCGGCTGCTACCGGAGGAACGGCGGCTGGTTGAGGAACGGCGGCTGGTTGAGGAACGGCGGCCGGCTGAGGGGCAGCGGGTTGCGGAACAGCAGCTTCTTGGGGAGCTACCGGTTGGCTTTCGGGTTGGGCTTGTGGCACCGCAGGATTGGCTGGCTGAATTGTTTGAGGCTGATACGAGGGTTGACCATATTGTTGTTGTGCGTAGGGCTGTTGCTGCTGTGCATATGGATTATACGATTGTTGTCCATATTGAGGCTGCTGCCCATATTGGTTATAAGGCTGTTGCCCGTAGGGTTGCTGCCCATATTGGTTATAAGGCTGTTGTCCGTATGGTTGCTGACCATAAGGATTATATGGCTGTTGAGGTTGCTGACCATAAGGGCTTAAAGGTTGTTGGCCATAGGGTGGTCGGTAAGGTGGACGGTAGGGTGGTCTTATAGCTGGCTTCCCAGCCCCTTTTTCTTCCTTCTCCTTTTCTTCTTCTCCTTCCTTTCCTTTTCCCTCTTCCTTTTCCTCTTCTTTAGGTTCCTCTGATGGGGGAGGAGGAGGTGGAGGAGGCACCAGTGGTGCCTGTGGAGGTTGCTGGCCACCACAAGTTGGCGGCTGTGGTGGACAAGGGGAACAAGTAGGAGGGCAAGGGGCACAAGGATCAGTGATCATCGGGGGCTGACCGCAAGGCTGTCCAGTTTGTCCAAGCGGCTGCATTTGCTGCCCATATCCTTGTTGCTGACCGTATTGTGGTTGTTGAGCATAAGGCTGTTGTGCAAATGGCTGCTGTCCATAGGGCTGACCAGGTGCCATTTGTCCGTAAGGCCGGTTGCCAAATGGTTGTTGCATGTACGGTTGTTGTCCATAAGATTGCTGGCGGTATGGCTGCTGTCCGTATGGCGTCTGTCCATAACCCTGTTGCCCGTATGGTTGTTGTCCAAAAGGTCGCTGTCCATAAGGTTGTTGGCCAAATCGCTGACCTCCATACTGACCTCCCATACCAAAAACGTCACCAAGTTTCTTCCTTGGATTTTGAGGTACAGCGACATACCCTTTGCAGCTGAACTTGCAGTGTTTAAACATATATGGCTGGTGGTTAGCCTTTTCACATAGATGATTGTTCTTCCAGTCGTTACACCTGCTATCATCATCCATCAGCATTTCCCCTGGATTAAAGAGAAAACGTGTTTTCGCTTATTTTAAGTTCTTGCCAGTTGATTCGTTTCTCCAAATGAAAGATAATTCGGATTCCAGAATTGAGGAAATGCTGGATTTCAAAATACTGGACTTCGGAATCCGGAATTCAGCTCAAGGAATACGCAATTCCGCTAACGATTGGAATCCAAAATCCGCAGCGTGGTATCCACAATCCAAGACTGATTGGAATTAACTTACATGGGGCGATTTGTGCTTAGTACCATGTTTGGGTGGATCACATTTTCATTTCTACCTAATACAGCTATAATAGACCTATTCGGCTAACTCATTGTTGTACTAATTCGGTTTGAATTGGGTACAACATTGAGTCAGCTGAATAGGTCTATTATAGTTATTTCGTATTCGTAAAGTGTAAACATAGAGGTAAACTTAGTGTTTATTACTAGGACATAAAAAAGACCTGTTTAATAACAATTTTAGACGATATGGCGCTACCACAGACACACAGATGTGAATATTCTCACCTGCTAAACACATTTTACAAGAAAGCTTGCATTTGCCGGACATGACTTTTGAGCTCTTTGCACAATATCCTTTAGGCGCCCACTTCTGGCAGTATTTCGCATCATCGTCAAAACAGGCGCTATCTACAAAGTAGAAAAAAAAAGTAAAACAATAAATAAGGAGTTCTTCACTCAAGGAAAAGTCTAATATAGCATTAATTGTTTGAACGCGATGGTTAAGTACTTTCGAACAAGCCATCCGAAATTTTTATGCCCATGTGACCACTTAATGGCATACAATACTCACCTTGCCTAGGGCTGTCCTTTAGTTTTTTCTTCTTGTTCACCGGTTTTCCTTGACTCAAGGAGCCGAATATCGCCAATAGAGCTACAAACAAAGCAAACTTCATCGCCTTCCTCCTGAAAATAAAGAAAAGGTAAATCTACCTTCAGTTTGTGGACTCTTTTACAAGCGCAAATGACAGGATGGCTTCTGAAAAACTATTTGAAGTTGAAGTCGAACATAATTGACAATTCTCTGTCAGCTAGAGCTTCCTTTAATTAATGTGTGTGTTTAGCTCAAAGTTTAAGTCAACCAAGTTTGTGTGGGTATGTGTGTAAATGTTTTGTTTTTTGTTTGTTCACTTAACAGATGGATAAGCCAGTTTCCTCAAATATTTCACCTTGTAAAATGAACAAACAACGCCTCACAATAACAGTTCATGGCAAGTGCTCATTGGTTTGATTTTATCTCCCTTTTTTGTCGTATTTTTGCTGACCCATTATTTATTATTGCGTTCTTTAACAGTTTTTTTTTAACTTTCCTTCTTGAAATATTTAAAGCATACGGAATTGACCCGGTTAAACCTTCATTACAACAGGACTGCTGTCTCAGGACCGGAGCCTTAATCAGTTTCAGGTCGGTAAGCTGTGTATTACATCATAAAACTGAGAGGTCAACTTTACTGTTGCCATTTTCAAATATTATTTTGGTTTTTTAAAACTGAGGAGAGGTTGAAAGATAACCATGAAATTGCCGTGTTGTTTTTCATCTTTATCGGTGATAAAAAAGACGAAAAGTATCTACCCGAGGGTCATGCTGTGAAGGAGCCATTTAGAAAATGAAATAGCAAACTGCGGGCTTAGTCAAACTGACTAAATGAAACTCAGAATGAAGCTCAGTCAGGTCTGTAAATGTAGATAATTTTTATGATTCGCCCACTGAGCAATGCGACAGCCGATTTAAAACTGATTCTGATACTGAGTATCATCTTACCCATTATTTTCTCCCTATGCTCTCCACGGTTTTGCTCTGTCCGTTGAAAATAAAGCTAGACATAAAGCCGTGGATTGCTTGCTAAGATCGATTACGGTGCAAAATATTTAGTTTCAGACAATCGTCCAGTCTTCTCTTGAGTCACTGAACAGTATAACCCTTCAATTGCCGGGAAAATGATTCAAAATCCATGAAGTTTTCATATGCTGTGAATGATTCTTGCATTATGGTAGTTACAACAAACTGAACAAGGCGTCTGTTTGCCCACCAAGTTAGGCCTACTGGAATACTGATAGTTGTCAGTATCTTACCTGATTTATGTGTAGCCGTGCCCAAAACAACGCGATCGTGGTCAAAACACTCACGGTGAAATGCCCTGAAGAAAGGCTACAACTACCCGCACGGTGACTGAACTGGTAAATAATTAAGTAAGAACAGCAAGACCACAAGTAAATTCGTTCAGGGTCAGTAAACATTATAACAATTCAGTGAATTCAAAGCGACGGAAAATTGCTGCCTAAAATTTAGAGCTTTTTTTGGTAGTTAGTATTATTGAGGACAAGATTTCTAAGAGTCAGAAACAAGGTTACTTGCTCTAAATATTGATCTCTTTCCGCTATTATTTCCACGGTCATTTTCTTACCTGAGGCTTGAGATATTTACTTACGCAACCATATCTGAATGAAATCGATGAACAAGGTGGAAGGTAATTTAGATCACTCTAGAGTTGCCGCTGAAAGGTGTTAGAAAAATAGGAAGTTAACATCGTAACGTTACCAACAAAAATGTGTTTTTAAAAAACAGCTCTGCTTTTAGGCTTGTCTAATTCTATAATTATTATTATATAACAAGACTGCGGTTTTTCCAAGCCTGACCTAACTCAGGCTGAACTTTGATTGCCTCTTGAATGGACTGATTGTTTTGCTCTTTAAGCCAAGATAGGTTGTTAGCACTTCCTCTCAGAATTCGACATAAAGACCAATTTCGACAAACTATCGAGTTATAGAGAGAGCGTGAGATTATCGCAGTTTCGCATTCATACTGCCTTTTCCCCTTGTGGTGTGCAGAAATGTCCCTTTCCGCGAATAACAAAAGAAATAGAGAACGTCTGCACACAGGTTAATAATGTCATTTTTATTAATTTGATTCTTGGGTGGGACGAGCAATTGATCCGCCAATAAACGGGATTGAAGAGAAAACATTGTATCATTAACGAGCTTGCTTCGCTTCAAAGGCTCGACTGATCATTTTATATTTTTTTCTTTATTTATGTAAAGCATTTTATGCAAAAAAGTAATCAAAATTCTAACTACTCCACCTTTCTCAAGCCAAACAAGCGCCAGGACGGCCAAGGCTCGAATAAGGGTAATTAAATAACTATCTCCCTTCCTCCATATTAATCAAAAACAATTCACCACTCCTTACCCGTTAAAAAATTATTTCACCGAGACCTTCTGTGTTGAAGAGTACGCCTATTTTAATGCTGCCAATTACTTTACCTTCTCTCTACACCCTCCAGACCACAAAGAGAGATGGTTACAGAAGTATTTTTCTGATACCGATATTTATACATTCCTGACCACTACTGAGTAAATCCAGCTGTACGTCGGACGAGTGTTTAATTCTATCCTATCAAGATTACATACATCCATGCCTTGGATTATTGAAGAGGCTAACCTACTTATATCAGAATATATCCAACTTATCGCTTATCGCATCCAAACTTCCTAAAGCAGAAAAGAAATGGGAACATGAAATGAGGATCCGCTGTGGGGTAAATTCTCGACGTCTAGTTAGTCAAGGTTATTAAAGCCCTAACGATAGCTTTTTCATGGGAAGTTATTACATAAAATTAATATGATTTGCAATATAGAGTGACAGGGTGTCAATGATGTGACAACTGAAGTACAAAAAAGCCCAATATTTTATATTCAACCTGAAGCATAAAAAATGACGCAAACACTCCCTAGTCTGTACTTGTAGAGATCCACCTGTTGAGGAAACTTTAATTTGCCCTAGCTAATGGTAAGATTGGGCGCTGGGTTGCCGACCATGATGAATGGCAGCGTTAAAAACATAAAGGCAATGTGCTTAAGATTTAGTGTTCTTTGAAGATCCAGTGAAAGTATTCGCATCAATAAACATTTGCCATCGCGTGCCCTGGTAATTACAAACTGTAAAATCTGAGTATATAGAGAAATCTGTTAGGAACCGGTGGAAGCCCACAACTCGCAGGAGCAAACAACTTCGATTCCATGTATTTATGTTTCTACAGGGCAGCACAAAACAGTCAGTAATAATACCTAAGCCAGCCTGAAAGATGATATTTTGCGCCTTTTTTTCACATTTAGTTTAGTTTTGTTTTCTTTTTCCTTTTTTTAAACTGTATACTGTGGGTGAGCACACAGACTGAGCGGAGCTGCCATTTTCGCGGAAAAAAAAAACTTCTTCCAAGATAGACTGATCAGCAAAATAGCCGTGACGCAGGCCTACAAAAGGCCATAGTCGCTCCTGGTATGAATATAAGTGGGTAAGAACTTAAACACATTCGAAAGGCTAGTTTTTAAGTTTTAATAGTTTTATTCCGGGAAAGCTGATTATGGCCACCGTCGATTGTGGCAACTGGATTGTTATTTTGTTTTTTCTTTTTTCAAAGCCTGATTTTAGCACCAGCGAGACTACATAATAATTCTTGGATAGTTTACCGAAAACGTGGAGAATTGTCGTTACACTGCCTCCTTGAAAAAGAGAAAAAAAAAAGAATTGGTGAGCGTGTTATCTAAAGTAAGTCAGCTGTAATCATATGCAAAGCCCATTGAAACTGGTGCTAACGCCAACGTAACTGTAAATGTAATTATAATTATCTTATTATCCATTCTCGTCAGGGCTCTTCATGGATAATTTACAACACTGGTTAGGGGACTTTGCCAGACTGTTTACGTTGCAGTTTACAAGTATTGAAGGGATGAGTGATGATAGCACCCTATGTGAGTGTGACGTTGAGATAGACCACTCCACCAGGAGACTTAACGACCCCTACTCTTTACGAAGAGTCAGTGGGTTCTTAAAGGTCCCAAATAATTTATTGCATGTGCCAAGCTTGTGAGACGAGGCCCAGGGTTTATCGCTCTTCTCCGTGAAGAATAGAAAGTGAAACCGTTCGCAGATGTTATTACAAAGGCAGCACTTTCTCACCATTTTTTTTTTTAAAGACCATGGGTGTTGATCCGGCTGGGGTTTAAACCAACGGCCTCCCGCTCGATCACAAGACCGGCGTTTATCTAATTGCCGAACAAAGGCTTTTGTTTAAGGAACAGCATTCAAAGGTGCTCAGAAACATCCCTCCTCTCCCTTTCCAAGATGTGTAAAGCTTATCATCCCTGTTTGTTCACTAATTACAAAAAGCAGTCCACATTTGCACCCCGTAAACAGCAAACAGTAACTGGTGAAACTCACTGATACGATTTCGGGCTTCATGCTCGATTTCAAAAGTTGTAATTCATCATCCTTGTTCCTACTGAAGAATATTCATTCTTTTTGCAAGGGAAACAATGATTTTAACGGACGTTGGAAAGTCATCCCTTTTAAAGTATGATCCGTGGTAAAGTTTTTTATGTTATTATGATACAGTCGACATAAAAGGAAGGGAAGCATAGCATGGTTTGTCTGTATCCGTAGATATCAATAATAAATGACTACAACTATAACTAGTTGAGATCAAAAAGCACAATCTTTTTTATTTTTTTACTAAAAACCCATTTACCTATGCATTGGTCATATCCATGTTAAGCGACTCCTAAGGACATAATTAAAATATCCTTGTTCCTACTACATCAAATTCGAGTCCTTTAAAATGCCTAAAAAGACTATTACATTTACACACATAAGAATTTAAAATAAGTACTTATATGATTTTATGGTATGTTTTTTTTAGTTTGTTGGGATCAGGGACGCAAAATCACCTAAAAGGACCTTTTAGAATTTGTATTGTTTATTTTCTGATTCATCTGGTATGTAACTGCAAAGTATCGTTCTTTAACCATCTAAAACAAAGGTAAAATACAGAGAGGCGACAACGCAAAAAAAGGGCAAAGAAACTATGGTCATAAGTTATCGACTTTTGAAAGACACCTTAATAACCAACAGGGCATTTCAATTCTCGATAATTCTGTAAACGACAATTCCAAGCCGTTCCCCTTAGGAATTTAAGAGCAAAAACTAGGCCTGTTAAGTTTCCCATTGGGCAAGTAAAGCTTTTATCCACTTCGTTTGTTTCAGAGGGATCATCAAGCAAACTCTTCTACAATCAGCCCCCCGCCTTAGTTTTCACAAATATATATCAAATACTCCAGAAAACAAGACAAACGTTTGATTGGAGACACAAGACAGTAATGTCTTCAACATGAGGTTAACAAGTTCCCGTTTTGTGACAACATAACTGCTTTATGGAGGAACAAAGCCATAATTCGTGAGATTAAAATACTGTCCCCGCAACATCTTCCATGAAATTCAGATGGTTTGAATTCATGCGTCTTGAAGAGAGTCAAAATAACCGTGTAAATGTATTCCATTCAGTACACACAAGAGATCTTGCTTCAGAGACAGGTATCCATAACCCTACAATAACCTGCACCATGTCATAGTCTATTGGGCCCCGTTTAATAACAAAGCTGTATCCTAAATATTTCATCTCACTGACAAATCCTGCATTCTTTCTCTAATACATGTGATCTAGTGTCCTCGTTCAGTGTCGTCTCATTTTGATCTCTTTCATGGTTTGGTGCTTGTTTATCTGTGGCCTTTTCTTTGATGCCTTCTCCAGGCTCTTTAATCTTTCGAAATTCAAGTTTCTTTGTTTCATTTTCTTGGGTAGTTTTTTCATGTCTTTCATGGTTAAACTGTTTTGGTGATTGTTTGTCTGTGGCGTTTGTTTTGCTGCCTTCTCCAGGCTCTTTCATCTTTCGAAATTCAAGTTTCTTTGTCTCATTTTCTTGGGTAGTTTTTTCATGTCTTTCGTGATTAAACTGTTTTCTTGGTGATTGTTTGTCTGTGGCATTTGTTTTGATACCTCCTCCAAGCCTTTTCATCTTTCCAAATTCAAGTTTCTTTGCCCCATTTTCTTGGGTAGTTTTTTCATCTCTTTCGTGGTTAAAATGTTTTGGCGCTTGTTTATCTGTGGCGTTTATTTTGATGCCTTCTCCAGGCTCTTTCATCTTTCGAAATCCAAGATTCTTTGTCTCTTTTTTCTTAGTAGTGTCTGGCATTTCATTTTTGGTTTTTGCTTCTCCCATCTTTTTCTTAGATTCTGATGTTTTTCCATTTGACGCCTTTTCCCCTTTTTGTTTTTTCATGGGTACTACCGCACCGGGCTGATTGCCTGTGTAATGAAATCAATCAGCTTTGAAAAAACCGCATCATTAATGGCATGTAATGAGTTAATATAATTTCACACTTTTAAAAAGAGCTTACGACACTTGAAACATTCATCCAGCGCGTTTATCCATTTTGATAATGAACTATAGGGGAAGTCGTTACTTCACGTTGCCATGGTAGCAAAATTGCTGGATCTCAAAAAACGGTGGTCCTGCAAATATGGCACTGACATTTATGACTTTTTAGTGCTGGATTTTACTCGTCGTTCGACAATGCAAATGGCCGTGGTGTCACACTTCATTGCTCTTAACCTCGCTATCTAAGTTAATGCTTTACCTGGGTTATATATCACGGGCTGGTAAGAAGTTTGTGACTGGATAGGTGCTTGGGGCATCTGGGGCTGTCCTTGAACCGTCGTCGGTTGAAATTGGGTAGGTTGATTCACTTGAGGTGGCATAGGTAACTGCTGTGTCTGCAAGACCTGTCCAGCAGAATTGAGAGCTACTGGTGACTGAGGCTGTGTTGGTAACACATTTTGCGGCGAAGGAAGAGGCTGTAGTGAAGGCTGATTCACTGCCCCTAACTGTTGGGCTTGTACAGGTGACGCCACTACCCCGGACTGTTGTGCTTGGGCAGGTTGGTTTACTACCGCGGGCTGCTGAGGTTGAAAGGTTTGGGGCACTTGCCCAGCCTGTTGCAGTGGCACAGGCTGAGCTACCACTCCTGGCTGCTGAGCTTGTACAGGCATGGCTACTGCCCCTGGCTGATGGGCTTGTGTAGGTATAGCTACTGCAGCCTGCTGTTGGGCCTGGGCAGGCATAACATTTACCGTGGGCTGTTGAGCTTGTACAGGTTGGCCAACTGCAGGAGGCTGTGGAGGCCCAACATTCTGGGCTACCCCTGGTTGTTGCTGTTGTTGAAGTGGCACTCTTGTTACAGTTGCTTGAGGTTGCACGGGCTGACCCACTCCAGCAGGTTGCTGTTGTCCTGAATTTGCAGGTGGAGGCAGCTGAGACTGGACCACTCCAACAGGCTGTTGAGGTTGCAGAAGTGAGGAACCTGTAGCGTACCCTCTGCATGTGTGGGGGCAAATTTCTTGCCATTCAGCATCATTGCACTGACTTTCCTTTGATTTACACTCACTTGTTGTATCCATTAGTGGATCACCTAAGACGAAATAAAACGAGAATCTTATTCAAATTAAATGGACGTTCAAGTTCTCGTACATTCAAAGTTTGTATTGGGGGTTCTCACCGGAAGTAGTACATCCTGTTTCCTTTCTTTGGCCCCTGATTGTTTACAATACCAACAAGAAATAGAATACTTAGCACTGGAGCAAGTTTGTCATGTTAGAGGATAAATGTTAAAACGTAATTCCAGCAGAAGAATTTGTATCGCATCAAAGTGATTCGACAACTAGTTTCAGAAAAAAAAAGAGTCTCCAGGAAGAATGGGTAGGGTAAGGAATGGACAGTAGATACAAATAGACCGAGAGTTACAAATTGTTATGAGTAAGAACAGATGTAATCCCGTGGTTCAGTGAAATCTCTTTCTGCCTAAAACTCGTAATACCTGTATATTACGTAAGCTTCATCAATGAACAACTGGCGATATTGATCTAATTCCAAGAAATGGAGAGCGTCTCAAAACGTGCACAAAAATACTCTGGTAAAATTGTAGTCAAAGACAAACGAAAAATCAAATTGGAGAAGTACATGGTAGCTTAAACATAATGTATTGAGGAGGCACGATTTACTGTCGTTTTCGCCGAAATTAATGGACATTAATCAGTTGCAATTGTAGGTTGCATCCAAGAGTGAATGGGAGGTTGACGGCCTCCAAAGCCAAAAGCCAGCTTTGGCAGTAGCCAGTCATTAGATAGCCTAGAGTGAAGTATCTAGTTGCTTTAGGAATTCCATCGCAAAACTTAAGAAAACTTCCCGTTAATTTCTAACAAGTGTTTTTGGAAATGTAGAAAACCTAGCATTTCTTATCTCTCTCTCTATGACCTTATTGGCTCGATTTTCTCTGCTCTCTTGGGGCCCGGTCTTGTTCCAGGAACGCGAGCTCATTTCCCGAACATCAGCCGATAAACGAGCCTATGATCTTACAGCTCAATAGCGACTACGTTAGCCAATAACATGCTTCTTTCCTCCGGTGAGAGAAATTAATTTATTATGTTCAACAATTCACACTGCTACTCTACTTTTGCTCACCTGGTGTGCACATGCCACAGGAAAGCCTGCAGTTTTCTGTCATATAAGTGTGTTTTGTTATACATCCTCCAGTAGATATCCACGTCTTACAAATTTCCGGAGCCTTGTCAGCACATATGTGGTCTAACAACAATATTTAACAACCGGTCAGTTATTCCAGTTTTCACAATTATGTAAAACGATCACAAGAACTACTATTTGCAACAAATCAGGCTTCAAGTAGATTTCCTTGATCGAGTTATAGTCCTGGCTTATTGCCGTGGTTGCGTTTAAATGGAAGTAAAGTTTCAGACAACACAGTTGCAGGGCCTAACCGTCACATGAGTGTGGACATACTGAACTCCATTCTACTTTGCTGCAAAGGTCACGTCCGTTTTTCTTCAATTCTGAGGCACATTTACTCGATAGGTCCATCAAAGGATCACCTAGACAGTATCAAAATAGTTCATCACATGTTACATTATTAACTACAACAAGGAAAAGAAGAGCTAATTTGCAGCACAAATTAAGGGTTAACAGTATACGCACGAAATGCATAAAAGGAGAAAAAAGGGAAGTTAGGAATTAAGTTGTCCAGATCAAATAAACGTTTGTTTCCCATCGGTGTTTTTTTGTTGTTGTTTGTTTGTTTGTTTTTTTTTTTCACTAAAACATGTCCTACAGTTATAAATAAAAAATAAAATAAAACAACATATAATGATTTGGAGGTGGCACATCCACAAAGTGGTTCTTCGTCTACCTGAGAGAGAACCAAAAACAAACTCAACTCACTATGGCGTCGACGCCGGTATTTGAACCCGGGCCACAATGGTGGGAGGCGAGCGCTCTCACCACTGCGCCATCCCTTGCTATATTAATGACTTTAATTTTCAACGGTCGCCTGCATTGGTTTACAAAATACCAAACTATCGCTGCACACTATAACTTCAGCCTATTATAACGGAAAACTCTCCACTTACCAGGCTTACACATCTGGCATGTTAACTTGCAATTTTCACTCATAAATTCGGTTCGTGTTGCACAGTACATATCGTAATTGCTGCAACGCTCTTTGTCCACATCGTAGCACATGTCATCATTTACTAGCGGATGAAAACAGTAAGAAGTTAACAACCATCTCGTTGCATGTAAACCGTTTTACGTATCATTAACTCGCCTATCCCCGTCCCATTACACCATCAATGTTGAGAGTTCGGAAGAGATTGACTTAGTCCCTGTACCGAGTCTTCCCAGCTCTTCTAGGTTAATGCATTTCGGTAACGTTCGGGACGAACGCCCTCGTTGGGACCACTTGACTAGAAATGCAGGGTTGCGCGGAAAAATGAGGCCCATAGAGTAGGCGATGGAATGATAGAATTGGTCAGTTACAGGCCAGTGGTGTGTTTGACTTTTTTATCATAAAAGGAAACACTTTAGAGGTCACTTGAGGCTCAATTCCGCGAATTTTCGGGGTGGGTATAAATCCCTAGGACTATGAAGTTCCTAAAGTACACCATGTTCTATTCTTAAATAGGTACCAAACGTTCCTACCCCGCATACTTAATAATTGCTTTGAAACCTATCAGTTTAAAACCGGTACCAAAAGGAAAAAGTGTCCACATCACGGAGGTATCAGTATTATCGAGCGTTTTCAGACAATGTCACGTCCGCCGTACTACGCACCTTGCGGTCGGACAACAGCAACACCAATGAAAACGTTACTGAAAAATTGACTTTGCGTCCTTTCAAACTTTTTCGCCCTTATACCAATTCATCCAGTAACTTGAAATTAAGAACGGTAGGTTGGAAATGAAGAGAGGGGACCGCGTCCGAGTTCGGAGAGAGATAGTAATTTATTGCTTTGCCGTTCCCTTCTCAAGTCAACTCAAAATTTGGCCATTTCACGTCTTACCTATGAGAGACGGCCAAGAAATGTACAAAAAGGCGTGATGTACGTGCAGAGTTGTTGTTTTCTCATAAAACCTGTTGCTCTTTAGATGTTCCCGTTGCCGTCGCCGTCGTAGTTTCGTAAGGTCCATAGTCCAAAGACAATGAAAAGATGGCCATGTTGTTGTCCTAAATCCTTCCTTTGGGAGTTGAACCTTTTTTCTTATGTAAACATTTTCTTTTTTTCTCATAAATTTGCATAGCCGCTGGCTATGGGAGTAAAAAAGTAGGGTTGCGTAAACAAGTTACACTCTTTTTTTTTCTATAAGAATATATTTTATAAGAATAGCGAGGCTGAAATTTGTGAAATCTTAAGAATACTTTAAGAATAAACTCCAGGCTGAGATTTTGAAAAGGATATAATTTCCTGTGTTAAAAATCTGTAAATACAATACAAATATACGTTTTCATTTTATTCCTTTCTTTAAACGGCAAAACTAGCTAACTATATTTAACAAAACTATAATTGATACCTTAATATATTCTGAAACGGACATGTCATAAGCTATTATTAAGAATAATACAGGAATATTTACAGCCTAAAATCGGCGGAAAAATAAGAATATTCAGCCTGGCCCTAGAAAACAACATTCCTATAAAAAAAAAGAATGTATTAAGTTTGGTATCTTTGGGATCAAGCAGACGTGACCATTATAGAAGGTATAGTATGAAAAAAAAAAAAAAAATTGCAACGACATTTACCTTTCTGAATGTCTCCACGGAACTTTGTGCTTCTTGCGACATGAGACATCCTACTGATCTTAAAAGGAGATTTGCATTGCGACAAAGCGAAGAGATGGATAATTAAGAGAGAAAATAAGGTCTTCGACGACTTTGAAGCCATGCCCTTCAAAGGAAAAAAACAAAGAGGGAAAAGAAACAAAGGCTTATTTTGATATTTTTCTTGGTAGCTAGGTAACTTGAAAATAATCTGTTTTATGTGTTTGTATTACAGCGATCACAGAATGACGCAATACAAAAGAATGAAAGAACAATGAAAAATATGAACACCGCAGCACCTCAACGAACTGAAGGTAAAAGCAAAAGGTAAAGCAAACACCTAATTTTACGTCGATAACTCGTGACAGTAATAACAGATAAACTTGAGGTCGACGGTGGGCTCATCTTAGCCCCCTCTCTCCATCAATGCTCCGTTTTAAGGGTATTTCAAGCTAGTCAAAGCTACACAGAAAGGAGAGAAGTTGAAACAAGGATATGATGTCACCGGGGATCCACCTCGTGACCTCGTGCACCGAAGGCCGCGCACTGACCAAATGTGTCATCCTTGGCTTATGGTTACCTATCCTCACGTTTTGCGTTCATGGAAGAGTGTATGCCCGAGAAAATTCTGGGCCAACTGGTATAAAGTGAATATATATATATATATTACTTTACACGAATGCAGTAATTAAGCTAGGGATGCGCCTTCCGATAGCTGCATTAGTACCTACCATTTGACTCTAACTTGCCTCTGGGGCATTTAGGCTCTTTCTGTCTCCTCCTGCGAAAACCTAAAAAGACATTGTTTCATAATTAAAGGCCATCTGTGTTAATGAGAAATAAATTAGAGATGAATAAACAAATAAAAAGGCACAGCCCTCGAACTATCAAAAACAATCTTGCTAAGTTTGAAACGTAATCTTATCTAGCTTGTTCACGCACCCTTTTTTTCTCTTTAGAGATCGTAGGCGAGCGCACGTATGAAAATAAAAACCGCGGGGGATTCAAATAAGCGAAAGGAAGTGGGGGCTGGGAAATAGTAAGAAGTTCCATTTCTTTTTTCGCTCTTTTAGCTCAAACTCACCCTCTGCCCTGGAGTTCGCGCGCTCACTTCGCCTCGCGCGCTCTCGAACTGAACGAAAAAGGAAAACGTCCGTGGACAGGCTAAATTGTTTCTTTTATTTTTATATGATAGAGAAAAGCCTGTTACAAAACAGTGGCGGAAACCAACAGGAAAATGTTTGTGCAGCACAATACCATGAAACCACCGTGGCTGGTACTAGACACTTAACGTTCTACCCGTCAGACATAAGTGCCGAAATTGTCACCCTAAAAACGTAAGTTGACATGAAAACAGAAAGCAAAATAGGGGAAAAGTAATAGTTTTTGTGAGCTGTGCATGTAAAGCGTAACGTTTCGGTAAGAAATCACTGCGAAATGAACTTTGAAATGTCAGTGATTTGTATAACGGGCACCGCCGACCAAGAATTAAGGAAAAGCCACTCGCAAGTGGAAATTCATCCGTAGTAATATCTACGTCGAGTCAAGGCCAAGCTACAACAGAACTTGTATGTTTGTTTGCTTGCTTTTTTGCTTTTTGTTTTGTTTTGTTGTGTTGTTTTTTTTGATAAACGCCCATACAGTGCTTAAGTGGATTAAGAGCCGTTTATGATATCTTGGTAGTGTAAACAAAGGCTGTTTAACCAACGAAGCAATTAGTATCGGATTGCAATTGTTAGTTGAAAATAACGAAGCAACTTGTTGAATATAATGAACAATATGTTTTTAGAGTGAGACGTTTAACCTAGTGAACGTAAATCCTTAAACGTTATGACTTGCGCGTTATAACTTCATCCTTATCAAAATCAGTTGAACTAGATTATAGTCCGAAAAGGCCGTGCTTGCCTTACCTTGAGTTATCAAATGAACCAAATGACCTACACCGTAGAGGCATCGTACAAAAAATGCTTCACTCGTCTATTTACCAAACACTTCAAAATTCGCCAAAGGACTTGTTTTGTAAATTTTTTATCACAAACACAATAACCACCGGTTTCCTTTTGATAGACAACAAAATGTTACCTGTTTTGACAAATAAGGTTACACAAATGTTGCTTTCTAAATTGAAAGAAAAGGAATTAAGATTACTACAAAGCAAACCTTGATTATCGTTATTATTAAGTTATACCAGTGTAATTGCGAGTAGTGATTTTCTCTCTCACGATCCAAGTCCAAACCATGGACTTTTGGGAGGCAAAGAGGGTTTCTACTTGATGAAGAGGACCTGCCTGAGAAGGTGGGCTGCAAAAAGGAGAGTTATTTTCTGGAGTTCATGAATGTTGATGTTGCCAGGGATTTTGTTGGTGTAGTTTTCCATGTCCTTCTTGATGGTGCCAAAGGCTCCCATAACCACCGGGAGTGTTGTTATTTTGCGCCCCCACTTTCGCTCAATTTCCAAGTCTTTGTATTAGTTAAGCTTTTCCGTGGTTTTGATAGAGGTGTTGGTGTCGAGGGGTATAGTCATGTCAATCAGAAGGCAGGTTTTGTCCTCCTTGTTCTTTAGCACAATGTCCTGGAATGGTCCTGTCAGTGTGAATGAGTATGACCCACAGAATGGTGACGCTGTCCCCGGTGACAGCCTCGGGTTCATGCTCATACCATCGTTCCTTCGCCTCAATACCAAACTCTCTGCAGATCTTCCAGTGCATGTGTGCAGCTGCCTTGTTGTGGCGGTGGATGTATTCAGTTTTAACCAGTTCAGGGCAGCCAAAGATCTGATGGTCAATGGTCTCGTCGAAACGGCCCCAAAGCCTGCATTTTGGGTCCACGTCAGCCTTCTTGAGGATGTTGTGTTGGTGCCATCTTGTTGGGAGGCTTTGATCTTGGGGTGCGATGATAAAGCCCTCGGTTTCAGCCTTGAGGCAAGCTGCTTTTAGCCATCTGTGGGTCTTGTCTTGGTCCACGTCAGCCTGTTTCACTCGCTGTGGGTATTTTCCGTGGAGGGTTTTTGATTCCAACTTGGACCTGAGCTGTTGACGACCCTGGTGTTTGGTTTTGACCTTTACTCAGCGGGCATACGTGGTGTTTGCCTCATCCTTTGCAGGTGGTATTGCAGGCACTCCCAGTTCCCGACTAAACTTCATTGAATATCTTCTGATGGAGTACAAGGATTTCCTGTCGTCGTAGTCTTTGACAAAGTGGAGGACCGTGTCCTCCGTCTTCTGGAGGTATTTATCAAGACCGATGGTGGTCGTCTTCTAGGAAAGCTCCAGTTGTACGAGCCCTCTACCTCCCTCTGTTCTGGGCAGGGTACAGCCTGTCCACGTGAGTTTTGGGGTGGTGCATCCTGTACATAGTTAGGAACTCAGGTCATCCATGTAGAAGAGGTGGTTGATCTTGCAATGGGGGTGTTGTGCCCATATCCAGACTTGTTCAGGAGGGAGCTTAGAGAAGCAAGAGCAAGACAAAAGATTAGAGGGACAGAGAGTCTCCCTCATAGACGCCTCTTTTGATTTCGATAGGTCTGGATGTCATTATGCCCTCATCGTGGTTTAGGTGTTTTCCCACATGAATCGGGTTATAGTGGGGCAGATCTTGTAGCTTTCGAGGTTATTGGTGATCCAGGTGTGGGGCACACTATCAAGGGCCTTCTTGTAGTCAACCCAGGTCGTGGAGAGGTTACGGCGCTTGGATCTCACCTCCTCAAGACTGGCTTTGTTGATATGGAGTTGGTCTTTGCAGCCATAGTTCCTGCAGCGGCATCTTTTTGGGAGCAGGTTGTTGCTTTCGAGAAAGATGTAGGCCCTTTCTGAAATGATGGAGGTCAGGACCTTCTACATAGTTGGTAGGCTTGTGATAGGCCTGTAGTTTTTAGGATTCTCTATGTCTTCGAACTTGGGTATCAGGAAAGTCACACCCTCGGTCAGCCACTCTGGGGACTGTTCTAGGTTTTTGAGGAATTTGTTATAGGCGTTGGCTAATTCGGGGTGTAAGCTGGTCAGTTGTTTGAACCAGAAGTTAGCCACATCCTTTGGCTATCCAGTTGCTGGTCTTGTGTATGGCTCTGATGGTCTCCTCTGTGGTGATGTCTGACCATTCCTGAGTTGGGACATGCTGGTTTTCCTTGGCCTGGTCTTGGATCCAGTGGGCACCATCGTTATGGGTCTAATTGTTTTTCCATATTTTGCTCCAGAACAACTCGACCTTTTCGAGTGAGGGAGGGTTCTGGATATTGATGGCTTTATTTCCCAGCTCTCTGTAGAACTTTTTGGCGTTGTCCCTGAAGGTCTGTTCTGCCTGTTGCAAGCGTGGCCATAGTTCTTGGTGGATAAAACAAACTTTACGTAAAACACAATTCAGTTTTTATTCCAACACTGATACATTTCTTCCACAACGTTCACCATGATGAGGGGTGATGCAATAGGTGCAATCAGCCTCGACCTAGTGTTACAATTTTGTACATGCACTTCAGGTAACTAATTTCTGGTTACAGTTGAGTTTGTATCCAACACTGCCTGAAGAAGTTTGCCCTTTTGGCGTATCGCCTGAGTCTCTGTGCTTTGGCCTAGACTTGTTTTTATTATTATTTTTGTTATTATTATTATTATTATTAACTTATTTGTTTTGGCCATGTCTTATTGGTTTTTTATGCCAAATTTCCTCTTGATTTTGTCAGCTTTGGTTTTTCATTATTATTATTATTATTATTATTATTATTATCATCATCATCATTGTTTTTATTATTATTATTGTTATTATTAATGTAACATTAAGAATGTTGATATTGACGTCAAAGTTGTTGAAGGAGCCATTCATTTCAATCGGACTATTGATGTGTTCCTTTCTTTTAAATGGCAAATATTCGTCATTAACACATTGTGAACGCTATTTAATTTTTCTTTTTTTAGTGATTTTTTTAGTCATGTTTAGTCATTATCTTAGTAAGAATGCAATTGACTTTGAAAATAGTTTCTTCTTTTTTTATTCGAAATGAATTGTTTTAATTGAAATGAAATGTTCTTAATTTGAATAATTTTTATTTGATGGAATGAATTTTTTTTCTAATCAAAACTAAGTGTTTTTTAACGAAAGGAATTGTAAATAGTGTTTTGACGAAATAGTTTTTTTAATGTGAATTAATTTTAAATAGGATTTTAATAGTTAGTATGTTATAAATAAAATATGTGAAATTAAAAAAAAATTATTTTTATTATTACCATTATTATTATTATTATTATTATTATTATTATTATTTTGGGGATGGAGATCTCACCAAGTGTGATCTAAGCTTGGCAACCTCTTCACAACTGAGAATGTAAAGCTCCTCTCTAGGTGGTGTTTTTATACAGGCCAGTTACACCACAGTGTCAATATCGTGTTTAGCAAGGTAACTCTGGAGTCAAATAATAATTTTCGTGTAGTCTAATTCCAACTGTAATAAACCCCTAGGATCATTACACATTTTGTCCTAAGTGAGAAGTATTGTAAGTGTTAATGTTGGCTTAGGGGAGGGGTAGGTGGGCAGTTTCCCAGAAACGTGTAATGATTCGACCCCTGACCCCTTCTGGCATGGTTTTGCCCCATATAATGTAGTCCGATTGCAGAATTAGGGAATTTGCTTGTGGAATCCGGAATCCAGAATATTTTTGCTTATGGAAACAGGAATCCTGGGCTTTGGGACCCCCAAATAAACACTCGGAATCCGGAATGCCACTAACGATTGGAATTTGGAATCAGGGATCTCATTTCCACTGACAGAGAATCTGGAATCCACGGCGTGAATTCAGAGTGTAAACTGTCTTTTGGATTCGCTAACAGGAGGGCTGCTATTATTATTATTATCCCATCCATTGAGTAAGTTTATAATATAATGTTGGTCTTGATTTTGGACATCGAACCACGTCCCGTGCTCTATCAGGTGCTCAATGTTTGTCACTCCCTCATGTCTTCAAGTCCAAAAGCCACCTTGGTATTCTTGCTGTCACCAGCAAACATACCAATTGTAATAGTCCATTGCTGTAGTCTGCTCGAATCTCTTTAAAAATTGACTACGGCGCGGTATTGGTAATTAAGGTGCCTAGTTCGTCGATGAATGTCAACGGCCACAACCTCCACAGTCATTTGCATGCTTGCAGTCTCACCTGAATTCTCTATACAGATCCTGATCCTCTCACTTTCACTAAAAATTTTAGAATTTTCCTCACCCAAGGAGAGTATATTAACTCCTTTCACAATATCTGCTTCGCATCCCCACGTGTGTATTCAATGAAGTCTGCTTTCCTCCCCTGCACATCTCCGCAGTACCTGCAGCACCTTAATTTTAACATTCTTGCGGTCTGCAAATCCACATTTTCCCGCTAGATCCCAATGGATTACATTAGTCACATTGTCATTTCTCCTCAATCTTGTACTTTTTAATGTCAATCTCCTGCACTAACTTAGAGCATGGCTTATATTGATCTTGTGCAGCAACGATGCCCTTGGGGGTACACTCGATTTTTTTGGGGATTGAAATTTTCGATTCATGAATTTTTCGGGTAGGAAAATACGGAAATAATTGGTTGATTTTAGTAGCAATATTTTGGGGTATTCAAAACAATCTGAGGATTCGAGGTCGGTGCTCGCATTTCCCAGCCAGCGTAGTTCTTCGAATAAAGTACAACCAGACTTGGGCGTGTTAAGCTTTCTGGGAAGTTTTAAGGCTCGAAAATTCGGCATGGGATTTTTTGGTTGGTTAATTTTTGGTCCAGGGATTTTTTGGGGGTTTTGTTTGAGGCCCTAGAGATTTTTTTTGGTTTTGATTTTTGCTCCCGTTCGATCATCCCCGTTACTCGAAATCCCGAGTACCCACCCTTGGCAACGATGCATGCATGAGAGCTGTTTCTCTGTCAACATCCCCTTCTTTCAACCCAGTCCATGGTTTCAACTTCTTTTATTCTGACCCTGTGTTCCCAAATAATTTTTTCCAAATTTACATTTTCAACGCAGAAGACTTACTGTCAAAGTAGGTTTAAAACCTCTCTCTCCTCGGATCAGCAGCGCTGGAAAATACCGGCTTCTTCAGTTGGACGAAAAGAAAGAGAAGGGGAATAGAACGGAACAGCTGGAACCGATTGATATTTATTTTCAATTAAACGAGCATGTGTTTAAAGAATATTAAATTTATCGACTGACCGTGAAAAAATATATTTTTTATGTCACGATGCATTATTTATGTATAATTTTCATTTAAAAGGGCTCGTTTTAACATATAAATGGTTGCTTTCAAACCACCGGCTGTGAAGCATACATCTTGCTTTTAGGGGGTTTTCCTTAACGTTTGTGTCACCTTGGAAAGCAGCAGATCAGACATTAATCTAGTTTTTTGTTATTTTTTTTGAAATACCTTCATTTTCTTCGCACTTGACTGACGCGTGTATTGTAAACCACTTAACTCGTAGTGTACGTGTATTTTTTTTAGTTTCATCACGAAAATTTAATTTTTTGCTATTCTTTTGTATTCAATGTATTAAAAGCAATGTTTTGTATTGTATCCTCGTTTTTTCAGACTCGAATAACCAATCGAATACTTTTAAACAGAAAGCTTATACACAAATATTAAGAACAGAAGAGATTTTTTGATGGATTATGGACTTAAGTGAAGGTCTTTGTAAATTTAAGATTACTTATTTTTTTCGACGAACCCTAATGATGTAGCACCTTTCACTTCAATTCGAAAGCCGCAAAAGAATATTTTAAGATAGCTTAAAAGCTACATATCATTATGTATTACCGTTTTTTTTTCTTATCAGTCTGTCTCGAATGCCTACTACTTATTTCAACAATAACTTCAAAATTCCAAGACAATGCCACTCTTTGTCATTTACGATGATGACATATTTGGTTTAGTTTCCGCGCCGATCTAAATTTTAATTTATGTCTTCTTGCGTCAGTTAGGCGCCACTGGCACACAGCCAAGACCGATGCGGAGATAAACTCCTTCTTAACAATCACTTTTCGCTTAAGCATTAGACATTTTGCTTTTGCTACCTAATGATAACCTTGTCCGCGGCTTGTTTTTGATATCTAAATGAACCAGCTACTGACCAGAAAAGTTTAGAGAAGGCGAAAACATCTGTATTTATTAAGCAGGCGCGACTTAAATTTTCCATACCGAGATATGACTTCACATAAATTTTTTTGTTTAATAGTGATGATATGTTTTTGTTTTCTTTTGTTTTGATTTGGTAGACGAAATTTCTGTTCTATGATCACTTTTCAAGTGAAATAATAAGTTAGTTTCTCAACCTTTCACAAAGCGAAAATTTTTAAGAATTAATCACCAATCATTTTTCGCTTTTTTTTCCACTGACAGTTCAAATGCAAATTAAGAACCGGCAAATAGTCACCCTCATTTTAATTTGTGAACTCAGGCGACAAAAGTAAAATAACTTCAACGTTGAAACCGAGAAGAAATTTCTTATTTCCTTCGACGAAGTTTGAAAGAAAAATTCGGCGCACGGAAGTAGCGCTACTGTACGGCTTCGGGAAAACAAAACGTTTTTGTTCAGACGATCCGTGAATTAATTGGAACGCTTAATGCGCTGCGGAGACGTCGGTGTAAAAATCGGTGAAACTAGTCGCTGCCATTTTATAATACTCGACGTCTACAAGGAAACATATAAAATGGTTTTCTAAGTTGATAATTCTTTTCTAATACGGCTATTTGTCATATCGCCTCGAGAAGGAATTCGGTATCAGTGGGAAAATTTCTTCCTACTTGGTACATAAGCGTCTTGTATTCGAAATATCCACTGCATAAGAGGAGGATAAAAGAGTGACCAAGGAAATACCATATTGTTACTAATTCGGGAGCCAACGTGCCGGAGAAACCGCCGTACGAACACGGAAGAACGGAGTGTGGGAAATTTAAGGAAATCAAAAGGGGAGATTAAACCATCTGCGTCTTCGACAAGTCCGAGTACAGTGTGCGAAGGTAGGATATTTAAAGTGATGAACGTTCTGTCCTCCTTATCTAAGTGTCAGGAAAAGTACTACGGGGGTAAATGCCTTTCTCCAGGTTTACCGTGGGAAATAATATGGCTTGTCATATTGCATTTTCGTTAAGATTTGCTTTTAATTTATTTCAAAGTGCGCCATGGCAGTAAATATTCTAAGCAAACAAAAAACGATATCAATTTTTTTGATATAGCCAGAACCCCGCAAAAAAAAAATATTTTACAGAAAATAAGTATTTCGGGGAGCCACCGTTAAGCACTTGTTTCTAATCACTGTTTTGTGGGCAGAATTCCTCTTCTTACACATCTCTGATTTTCATACGTTTGACTTAGATGAATGATAAATCAAATTGGTCATTATTCATAATCTTATACAATGTGTGTTCTCGTACCGTTGAAGCAACTTGTACTAAAACTACTGTTGTAAAATTAAAATTATTTTAAAATTCTCCCATTGGTTGCATAATATTCCATCATAGCACATGAGTAGAGGAGGACGATGGCGAACGCCAATAAAATCAACTTTATTTTCTCGATCCAAAATGTGAAATTCTGCTGACTTGGTTGTTTGATACGAACAACAATTTTGGTGGATGGGAAAACATTTTTGTTATTATTTTTATTGACACTGTAAATCTTATCTTTTGCAAAATCAAGAATTCTTAAATCTTTTGAAACGGTTACAAATACTTAATTAATATTTCATGTTATCAATCATTACAATTCTGCATAATAACACTGAAACGAGAAGTAAATGACTGATATTTGGGGAAAATAATAACGTACTACGGCACAACTATAAAATAAAAATTTCCAATATTAGTGTTCTTTGACTGATTTGAAGTGTCACTCTGTGGCTAGGTACATAGCGTTGTTTATAGGTTAGAACTGAATTTAAGACAGCTCTATCTAGCCGTTATATTGTTTTTTCACATGTAACCTGAGCATCACTCGCTGTTAAAATGAAGTTTACAAATTCGCCTTGGACCTAAGCTTAAATTTTTTCTTTTAAATTTGGAGTTTATGGTGGCCCACAACTGTCACGGCAAAACCAAAAACCTCACGGCAAAAACAAAATACCTCACGGCAAAACCAAAAACCTCACGGCAAAAACAAAATACGTCACGGCAAAACCAAAAGCCTCACGGCAAAAACAAAATACCTCACGGCAAAACCAAAAGCCCCACGGCAAAAACAAAATACCTCACGGCAAAAACAAAAACATCACGACAAAACCAAAAACCTCACGGCAAAACCAAATACTTCACAGCAAAAGCAAAATAGCTTTGGTTTTGCCGTGAGGTATTTGGTTTTGCTCTGAAGTATTTGGTTTTGCCATGAGATCTTTGGTTTTGCCGTGAGGTTTCTGGTTTTGTCGTGAGGTATTTTGTTTTTGCCGTGAGGTTTTTGGTTTTGCGGTGACAGTTGTGGGCTACCGTAGGGGAGATCGTCTGGACGTAAACAAAAAATATCAACCTACATTCTAATTAATCGTATTATTTTTCAAGGTTTCTTCGGTTATAGAGAATTGATTTTGAATTATTCGTATCGTTAATATTGGAATGAAAGTTTACAACTAAGCGTACAGGCAGTTTCATTTAATTAAGGCGGGCCGCCCGTTTACAGTTATTAATTTAGTACAGTTCATTAGCATAACAATTTTTAATTAGTTAATTAGTATTTGCTAATTAACTTTCAATCAAAGGCATTGTAGCCTGCGAAAACAGCCGTTTCCCCTCGCTTCTCGCCGCTGCAGACGTTTCGCGAGGATAGCCTGCATAACAGGACCTCTTCGAGCCAAGCGAGGCGAAGCGCGAAACGAGTGCAGAGCGCGAGACGATACCAGTCCATTGCTCTGGCTCTTCCCACGTTCACTACATGCACGTTGCGTTCCAATTAGTTTATTGATGACGCGTTGTTCTGGCATGTTTGTTTAGAACAAAATAACCGTCACGCATTCAAGTTCTTTTGACGATTCTGTTCGAGAAGCCTTTCCTTTATTTCCAAATGTTCCAGAAATAAAAGAAAAACAAAAGAAATGTTTAAATTTATTGCTTAAGTGGAAAGATGTTCTTGAATTGCTTCCAACTACAATAGGTTAGGAAGAGGCCTGATTTACTAACTTTTTTAAATTAAGTGTTGACAGGCCAAACACGACTCATAAGCTCGTGACCTTGGGATTTGTTTCAACAACATGTCTTCCCTCTTTTCTTTCTCGCCGCTGTGTTTGCACATAACTAAACTTTGACTGAGCAAATATCACTTTTGCCGCACTGAATCTAACATTATTGAAGATGATTTTGGCCTCGCAGTTATTTCCTGTGTTTTATGCTGTTGTCGGTGTTTCTGGTAGCCAGAAAGGTGACAATTTTGGAGTAATGGATCGTGTTTTTATTGGTCTTTTTGACATGACCGCCGTTAGTCAATACTTGTGGGCGTAGGTGGGCGGAAGAGTCAGAACAATGGACTGGTAACAGGCGCTTTATTTTTCGCCTCCTCTCGTCTCGCGCTTCACACCCGTGTTCAATGCCGCGTTCACCTAGTCTGGCTCGTAAAGCGCCTGTTATCCAGGCTAAACGAGGACGAACGTCTGCGACTCAGCAACTGAAATTCCATACTGATGGCGTAAAATCTGTTCGGAATCCAGTCAGAAGCGCTGATTGGTCAATCGAGTAGTTACATTGTCTTAGCTACGAATGACAAACAAAAGACAAAAGGCTACAAAGGCCAAATGTAAACGCGATGAATCTCTAATGAAACAGTCAAAATTTGACCAGGAAGAACGTCAAATTGAACAAATTTGCATTAGGAACCCCATAACTACCGGATTTATTATGTAAACATTGATGTACGTCACCAGTATGGAATTTCTGCCGCTTAGTCGCAGATTTTCCTCCGCGAAGCGTCCCCAGCAGCGGAGAGCGAGGAGAAACGGCTGTTTTCGCGGGCTAAACGCATTTCTCCAGGTAGGTAATCTTTAACTTTGAAGTCAAGTTAAGTCCATGTGTTCATTTGCCCGGTTCTCGACAAGTTCAGGATATAGACGTCCTTCATAACAGTTGCCAATGTATTTATTTTTTTCCACGTGTATATGAATCGAATGAGCCTTTCTGGCAATCAACCATTTTGTATTTTGCACATCCTCGCGAGGTCAGAAAGGCTAATTATCAATACATATAAAATTTCACAGTAATAGGCCGCCCTTGTGAAAAAGGATATTAAGGTATTCTTTAAATAGCAGATGTCATCTGTCGAGTTATTTTTCTGCTTGTCTTGCTCTGTTTTTAGGCAGTAGTTGTGCTATTTCTTCTTCGCGAAACGTGAAACGTTCCGTCATTTTATACCAAGGCAGCGCATCCCTGTACCCAGTGCTTCTCGGTTACAGTCCCTTTTCAAGCAATTATTCCGCACTACTGACGTCATTTTACAGATATCGCAAACGGCTTCCAAATCGTCACCGATTGTGCATAATTGAGGAAAAATACAAAATCTTATAAGTAAGACAGGTTTTTGCTTATTAACTGGAAATAGCTCGACGGTTTTGACTCACCCCGTGTCAAAAATTAAATTTCATATACGCGAAGTAGCGGCGGAAACATAACTTTTTTGTGATATACAGGCGGGACAATTTGTTCAGTATGAGACTGAAAGGTTGAATTCTTTAGATCTCAATTTTGTTTAACTTAAACTCGTATCTTTAAATCTCGCGCTTCCCAGAATGAAAATAAGACAGAGAAAACAGAGAATAAATGAAGGGGTTACTGATAAGGCTGGGCTGTTTTTTAGATTTTGTTCCATTTGCGTCAAAAAAACTAAACGTAATTAACGTCAACTATTGGACGAGGTTGAGCAAAATATCGTGATTTGATAGTGGCAAGCATATATTCAATTATTAGCCGAAGCCGAAGACTGAGGTGAATAATTTATCTGCGAGACACTGGCAAATCACGATATTTTTTGGATAACCGAGTTCAATAATTGTTTTATCTTTCGATCATTGAGTTTATTACTTTTTAAAATGAATATCTTCGGACCCGCTATTTTCAAGCAAGAGCGCCAGCAAGAAGAAGAAAAGTGTGGTTTCGTTTACGCTTGAGCAGAATACTATTTGCAGCCACACAAAGTTGGGCGACATTGTGCATGAGCAGACCATATTTGCAAACAGTTATTTGTAGGTCACGTGATGAGCTCTCGGCCAAAGAAAAGGAAGAAAAATTTGCAACGAATGGATATTAAAAATTACCAGATTTGAAAGGCGTTCGTTAAAATATAATTATTAATCATTATTATTCTTGATGAATTATTAGCGTTGAAACGTCAATCAAGCTCATGTTGATTCATAGATTAATGAATGCATTAATCAACTAACTGTTCTTACGTAACAATTTGCTGATTTGTTTCGTTTTCAGTTACAATTTAGAAAGATTATCCGCGATGTCTTCCACTCCAAAACAGAATTCCTGTGCATTACCTAGCAAGAAATCTGCCCTGAAAGAGACTGTAGACCTTCTTCGCATGCAAGCTAAAATGCAACGTATGAAGGTTTCAAGATCAGCTGAGGAATTGATGAACTACTGTCTGGAAAATGCTCAGGACGATTGTCTTCTTCAAGGGATTCCCACGGGCGGAAACCCGTACAAGGAAGGCAAAAATTGCCCTGTTATGTAGGGGAAATCTATCAGCTGAACTTTCGTATGGATGCATTTGATTTGGCATAACAAGTTAACTGCCAGAGTTTTTGTATGGCTAAGTAGCAGTAACTAAACCAAGGGCGTTGCATGTCACGCGATTAATTCGTTCTGTTACAGGTTTTAATTCTGAAATAACATGAAATGTTTCTGCCACAGCGAAGACAATTGACCAGCGTGTGAAGAGAGTCGCCTTAAAAAATGTTTTGAAATTTATCCTGATTACTTTAAAGCTGGAAGATCTTTCACGATATTAAAACATTCCGTGTTCGTATTCCAGCAGAAAACTTGTATGTCTCAAACTTCAAGACTCCATGCATATGCAGTCGTAACATTGTGTCACAATTAATGTAATCCAGTTCTGATTGACGCATCTGCGCGTATTGATCTATGAATAAATCTTCAGAAAATTCCAGAAAGGTGACCAAGATGGCCACTATTTTGTATGACTTTTCAATTCCCCAGCAGAAACATCTTTGATAAGACAAGTAGCAAGTTTTTCGTGTTGAAATTTGTTGGCCAAACATAATCGTTTTTAAGGAAAACACATACATTTATCAAGTTATCATCATGTGGTTTGTAGAGGTGACAGAGGCACACCACATCATAGCACCTTAGCGAGTAGTAGTTCACAATCCTTCTTTCTCGTAATTGCCGAAAGCTTTCCTATCATTTAATTCCAAGAACATTTTCGAATGGAAGGAAACTGCCGGGGGATAAAATTGTTGTCAATAAATTTGTTGACTACAAATACTGCCAAGCCAATTACCGTGTTATTGTTTTCACTGCAAAATATAACTAACAGAATTTGCTCTAACTTCTCGATCAAAGATGCACCCACCCTACTCCCTAAACGAAAAATCCCAACCTTGGTAAACAGGTAATAACGTTGCTATCACAACTCTGAGGTCACTTTTACGCTGGTCATTAAAAATGTTCATGTTAGTCTAGATAAAGCTGTTTACAATGGTGGTGACCACTTTATATAGCACTGTTTGTCAGAACGTATTAATTATCGAATAGGCGGAGGAGAGGTAGAAAAGCGGGAGCCTGTTGACAATGATCGGCAGGTTGATTAGGAGAGTGAGAATTGGCTTCTTCAAGTCTTCGCCTCCGGGTTTTTCTACCCCGTTTCCTTTCTACCCCACCCCCTCACTTAAGAGCCTTACAGGTATCCGATGAAAATACAGTCAAGACACCCCATGGCTCCAATAGACCTTATTCACGATAAGCGCCATCTTTACATGCGCTTTAGGATTTATGGGATAAAAGCAATGTCACGTGGTATTTCAGGGGGCAAACAAGTGTTAAAATTTAGCAATACGAGTAATCAATGTCCAGTTTGTTTATTCTCTCAAATACGTCAATTTTAGGCTTGAAAAATGTACAGATAATTTTGAATTTCGACACGTTTCACGTCGCTATGGCGGCAAATTTTATCACTCGTTTCTCCATTGAGAGGCCATGTGACACTGCTTTTATCCCATCATTCTTACTATAAAATATTCACAAGGTAACCTTTCTCCCCCACCTCAATTCCTTCCTGATTGAAAAAATAATAACCTGAGTTTAAATTAATGCAGTCACAAGTTATATGGAATGTTTTAAAACAACACGTGAAACATTCAAACGGTACCTCACGTTGTGATTATCACAAAAAAATAAGCTTTGAGAAATTGCCTATGGCATGTGAACGTGAAGGGATTAGCTTTCTCGCTTATCCACTCTTAGGAGATATCAATATAATTCGTAGTAGAAAGTCTTGCACAATTTGGTTAAACAACAATGGCATTTATCGATTATGTTAGAAATTGCCACACAACTTAGATGAAATTAGAAATAGAGTCATCTTGGACTCGAAACGAGGCTACGCCTCGCTCGCACGTACATGTAAGACGGGGCCTTATTTTCGTCCTTATGTGAGAAGACTATACAGTGAAACCTGTATTAAGCACTCACCTTTGGGGAATTGTCTACTGACGTGACTTATTAGAGGTTGCACGTTTAACACAGGTTTGACTAGCCGAAGAGTTTTTCAAGGAAATGGAGATGGAAAAAAAGCGAAATATCTATTCCACGACAAATTGACCTAAAAGTGTGTCTACCTCTCACTGTGCCAAAAACAGGAAGATAATGCCACTAAACGCCGTACGCAGTGTATATGTTGCACTAGTATTTTGCATCTTGTTAAAGTGACCGTTGAGGTGAAGACAACAAAACATAACTCGCCAGGAACTTGGAAAAGGTAACTGCGTCGTTCAACATCAGTTAATACAGATTAGTTTTACTGTAATTAATGAGGGACTTTAAGTGACTTCGTAAGTGACCGCTTAATAGACGATGACGGCTTAATATATGGAACATGGAACACAGGTTCGACGGTATAAGGCCTCATCACTAGCAGACGGAAAACAGATCAATGGCCTAGAGGATAATTCTATAAAAAATTCGGGAGGGTTCTACTACTTGTGTTCTGAAACCCTAACCCTATTTCAGACCTAAATATTTGATATCCTGAAGATCTCGAGAAGCAATCAAATGATAAAAGAAACATACCGAATTCCAGACTTTAACTACAGACAGCACAAACCATTTCCCTATTCCAAACTCAAAAGTCAAAATGTTTACACAATTGCTGACCAAACAAATCAAAAACCATTCATTTTGGGGTCGCATATGGTGTTCGGTTAACAACACTTTAAGGGCACTCCAGTATTTAAAAATTAATTAAGTTAAGCGGGTGCTTTGTTTTAGACAACCCAACGAAGTATGTTAGTTTCTGAAACGTTTTACTGAAAATAGATGGCCTCTCCACTCCGTTTACATTTGAGGGGCAAAGTTTTAGCTGATATCTGTAGGACGTCAAAATATCCTGATATCACTTTTCCTCAGAGATTGTGCAGAAAAGGTAAGTGTCCTTAAATGAGAGCCCCTAGCGTTAAATTGAGACATTGCCTTGGATTCACTGGTGTGTTCTTTTGTTGATATTAAGTCAATCAACAAAATTTGGCTGAGTAATTATTGCACTTAAGCCATTGTAATCTACAAAATCAATATACTTTTTCTCGTTATAGAGTTAAGAAGACAAAATCCCTTCAAATATAGACGAAAGTGAACCTTTTTGTAGGAAAAATAATTCTCTTTGTAAAATTCAACGTTAAACTAGAGTGAGTCGGGAAACAAGACGAAGGGTACAAAGACGGAGGGCGACGGCTAATGACTTCGATCCTAAGCACTTGAAAGATTATAAGCTATGTTTGTGCATAACTTGAGCAAAAGACGATCAGTAATTTTTATGCGGGAAAGGTATAATTACATGTATTGTAACGGACTACACTTATGACATAATTTTCCCTCGGGAGAAGCCATAGTTGATAGCTATCAATCAAACATTGGAAAGCTTTGGAATTCCTAGAATGTAAAAGATTTAACCCCTTAAGAAACTGTTTGGCCAAATTTTGGTCACTGTCTTTTCTTTTCTGTAGGAAGCTTTCTTTCTTCGTAAAATAAATCGACAATTGGTTAATCTGGTTTCTACAAGGCAGGTTTGTGGTGTTAAAAAAATGTGTGAGGTAAAATACTCTTTGTAGTGTCGGAGTAATAATTTTTCATGATATTGTGACAGAACCAATTTAGGTAAGGTACCTTAAAGAAAAGTAGAAACAAATTCAAACGGAACGAAATCACAAGGCTGATAACAAGTGGTAACAGCGGAGGCGTTTTTCAAAAGCAGGTCCTGTGGCCTTTTTGATTGCCATAGAAAAGATCCATAGATGTTTAAGCAAGTTGATTTTTATTGAGTTGATACTGGTAATAGCCGAATACTTACAGCTAAAGTAAATGGAACGAAGCACAGAAATATTGTTACAACATCAAATATTGACCCTAACCGGCACTGTAATTTGTTTCCATCAATTACTACCGAACAGAACGCATGGGACAGAGGTATTAGAGCGAACACGATCGCAAATCACCCGTGAAAGCAATATCCATAGAAACAGCTGAAATACCCTTAAGAGGTCATCAAGCAAAGTGAAAGCAATTTGGCCGTGAAAAGTCAAGGCGAAGAAATTCCAAATTTTTCTCCAAAACCAACTTCTTAACAAGATTATGTTATGGGTGGTGGCGCTACTGTAGGCTTGTGACGTCACCAACAATGGTCGCCATCTTGGATTTTACATAAGAATTCGAAATCATCTTAAACCGCAAGAAATGGTAATTTTGGGGGGCTTAAAATAAAAAAATAACACATAAATAAGCACTTTGCATGATTTTAGCCAAAAGAATTACCTTTATTATTGAAAGAAGTTGAAAATCCATATATTTTCATTCAAAAATGGCCTGGGTCCGGTTGCATAAAACCTGCACTTAAGTGCTCACTTAAGTAGGTCACTTACGAATCCGTTATGGGGACACTTACGGGTGTTGCATGGAACGCACTTAGCACTCTCGTAAGTTTCTGTTTTACGTGGTAACTTAAGGGCTCACTTAAGGGGACACGTAACCTTGATATAGTACTTTATTAATGATTCACCCTTTTTTTTTTTAAGCTAACCATCGGTGAGTGTAAAGAAAGTTAAAAGTCGTTTCGAACACTTTAAGTCTCTCAAATAATGAAATTTCCATGCAAACGTTATTTTTCTTCAATATTTACTGAAAATGACAGTTCTTCTTCTTTTTTCACAAAAGTGTACATCAGAGGTTAACAAAGCGCATTAGAACGAATTACGTGAAGAAAAATACTTTTTTTCACTTCTCAGTAAAAGATCTCCTTAAATTTAGTAAAAACAGTAACGATACGGGACCTACATAGGTCCCGTAAATTTACGTGCTATTTTTCCCGTAAAAAAAGTTTTATGCAACACCCGCAATTTCTATTGCATAAACGACACTTAAGTGAACACTTACGAAAATCGTAAGTGCAACCACTTAAGTGAATTCCCTAAGTGGACCACTTAAGTGATTTCATGCAACTGACTTAAGTTACGAGTGCACGTACGTGTACCCGTAGTTGTTACGGACGTTTTATGCAACCGGGCCCTGACCACCTGCTATATATGACGTCATGTCTCGTTACCATAGAAACTGACCGTTACTGAACTTATCTCAATATGTGCCTGAGGGATAAACAAACAGCTACTGACAACGTCAGGTGCTGATGTTTTATCCTCCAAGAAAAAACACAGCTTCAGAGTGCGGTTGCCTCCCCCTTGTACGTCCAAGGGATAAAGGATAT